CTACGTTGTAGAGCTCATGCAATCAACCATTTGGATAATAGGCAAACAGGAAGGTACAATGGTATCTTTTTAGTAATATTGACTTTACTGCGTTGTCAGATCATATGTTTTAATATGTTATTGTTGTTTACACATGCTTTAGGGTAATTATGTTTCTGTATATTGTATTTAACAAATGATTACTTCATATATACGTACAAATATATATATATACATGTGTTTTTATTTAAGCATTTTTACTAGTAAATGCAGTTTAAAGTATTCCATTCGAATTAAGAGAATTAATTCTTAGTCCTAAGACTGAGTGACAACAGGAACATGCAGTTAGCCTTCATTATAATCATAATCAAAATGTGTTTAAGATTTGTTTACTCTTATCAATTTGAAGTTCTTCATGATCACTTTGTGTGCGTTTGTATCTATTGATGTACCCATTTTGTAGTTGTTATTTTTATCAATTGAGTAAATCGCAATAATCATAAGAAATATGTTTTAAAAGACTAGTCATATTATCTATTTTTTGATGGGCAGTGCTGTGAATAAATATCCTGTTTTGCACGTGGTATGCTATGTTATTCTTTTACTTGTTCTACTCTACAGACTTATGTAGTGAATCTAAATTAATATAATATATAATGATGTCATAATGTATAATTCAACAGGTTTCTTGCAATAATTATTATTGAGATATGTGTACTATTGATGGAATTGATCATAGTACTTTCGATCTACGTTTGTATATAATGGAGATAGGTTTATATTACCAAAAGATCGATAGCTAAATATACATGCTATATTAAAAGTTATAACGGTATATATAACGTTATTGGTTCCATGAAATTCAGCATCCTACGTATTGTTTTATTGTGTGAAACGAAGCATATTATTCCTTTGATTAATTTTCTAGATAATGATTCGCATGAATGAATAAATTTATAAATTTAAACAAAATTATATAATTTATGTGTACATAACGTTTTAATGCGTGAATGAAGAATAATTCTTACAGAAAATATTAGATAATTCCAGTGACTTCTGCGTCGGTTTCGTTATCCAAAACAGTCATGTAGAATGGTGGATGTTTCGCTTTAAATAAATCGTCGCTGTTTTCACGAAGTGACGGTTGTGAAAAATAATTGCATTCACTTTGCGTTACGATTTTCCTCACTACCGTCACTTCGTGAAAACAAGGACGAAATGTAAGCGATTGAATGGCTATTACATTATAATGTAGGGGTCTACATGGAAAATTGATTATTTATATAAGTCGGGAGGGACTAGTATAGCCTACTCGGAAAATACACTTAAACTCTAATAGACTGCACCTCAACCACCCTAAATAAAAGGTCAGTAACAACGAAATATCTATGAAATGTTTAATAATAATAGCCTAATAGTCCACTCCAAATTTTATTAAACCGAAACGGAAATTCTTTTTTCCCAATTGATCGTGAGCCCGGCAGCCACTGAGCAGCGCCAGATCGACTTTGCTCTATCCCTTATTGATGAACGCCAAACAAGGTAGCAACAACTCCCATCTTTTAACGTCTTTTGGTATGACGCGGCCGGGGCTCGAACCCACGACCTCCCGGTTGTGAGGCGGACGCTATACTGACTGAGCCAACACTCCGGTACAAATTTAATTTATTTAATCTTGAAAGAATATAGACATTAAAAGTTATTATATGTATCATCTACCCCCCTCCCTGAAATGGTCACATCTTTATGGAATTTCAAGAGAAAAAAAGTACATAAACAACATGCATCACAATTGGCCATTTGCGAGTTTGAACGCGTAAGATCACCTTTTTGCAAATGCCGATAAATTTGAATGAATTAGGGTACATGTGCTAGACGGAATGAATTTGAATTTCCAATACGCTAAAAAGATTGACCGAAGTACAACTTTGACCTACAGTCTTTGCGCTAAAGTAAATGAGCGTTTTATCAAATTGGGAGAACGGTCATTTCTTGAAAAAATGACATAAATTTTCCACTAATTGCAACATAATATTTTGCAACTGTTGTAGTATCTTAAACAAGTTGTTTAGGAATCCAAGTGGTGGGAAGTGTTGAAAAATAGGCTACATTAAAGATCAATGATATTATTTCACATTTTCTATAAGCTTTAACAGAGCCAATTATTCACATGCCTTTGAGCAATTTCTTACAAAGACGACCTGTGACAAATACAAATAAATTACATTCAGAATTATAGTAGCAATGTAACATGCACTAGATACAAGGGTTCTGATTTATTAGCATAGAAGAAAGAAATAAACAGAGTGAGTTGGTGACAGAGGGGGATAAAGAGAGGTAGCAAGAGAAAGATGGAAATAGAAAGCCAAAGAGAATCAGAATGTGAAAGAGAGAGAGAGAGATGGAGAAAGAGAAAGCATATGGGGCACGATATATAGTATATTATAGTTCGAGGATTCGCTGGCAAAATTCAAAAGAATATATAAATATATATATATATATATGAAATAAGATAAAACAGAGTAAAAATCTCTTCTGGTATTAGACTCGTTGGTGACGAAGTGTAAAACATGTTTATGAGCTTTATCATTTTATTTAAATGAATAGTTCCAATGTAAAACACGAATCACCCAACAAAACATGGTACTTAACAACTTTTTCCAGGTCAGAAAAACTTCTACCGGACTATTTCGGGAGATGCAAAATTAGGCACGTCTTGAATATAACCTACATTTAAAATTATGTAAAAATGTTATAATAATTATGTAGTTTATAATATCTTCCTCTACACTGTCACACTTCTGCCACTTTACCATTGTTTCTCGTTCTCTCCTTTCTCTCTCTTTGTCTATCTTTATCTCTCTCTCTCTGTATCTATGTTTCTCTCTATTTCTCTATCTTTATCTCTCTCTTTCTCTTCCTTTATCTCTTTCTCTCTCTCTCTCTCCTCCCGTTTCTACAGCTTTGTAAGACATTTTGTCTCTTAAACTCCATATAATTCAGTCTTTTGGCTGCCCTGTGTAATTATTTGAATGAATACCAATATTACATACTACACTACTCATTAATTTGAAGTACATTAAACCTTTTGCAATCATCAAATAAAGTCCCCCCCCCCCCTCTCTCTCTCTCTCTCTTGCTCCTTTCCCTCCAGTAGCCATCTTTCCCCTTTCTACCACCTCAATCTCTCACTCTCTACATTCTTTTTATTGCAACCTTAAGTTTCATTTAACTAAATGGTTTGTGATTATTGAATCCACATTTCATAGAAAACTGAAACTTATTTCGAAGGGGTCTCTTATAATCTTCTTTATAATGTTTCTAAAAACAGATGCCATACTGTAGCTAGGCCAAATGAAGAGGCACGAAAAGGTGCATCTGGAGCGCAAAATGTGTAATTGATGAAAATCATAATTTTATCACACAGAAGAACAACATCATTAGGATAAAGAGCTGGTAATATACAAATAATACAAAGCAGTGAGGGCATCAGTAAGAATTACCCACACAAGGTACCTTTGGAACAGTCTAACACGCCCAAGGCGATAGCCAAAGGTTTTTGGACTGTTTTGAAGGTACCGGGTGTGGGTAATTTTACTAATGCCCGAACAAAATGATGTGTATTATATGTTTTATAAGATTATGTTTTATTTGTTTAATAAAATGATGTTTTATGAAATGATTTTACTATTGACCAGTCATTGGCATTTGATAATTGACCGGTCTTTATCAAAATTACGTGCTAGGCAAAATAAATGCCTCGTCACAGGTACGCTCCCAACCAATTATTTGATTAGGATCCACGTCATCATCTTATAAGTGCATATACCATCACCATGAAGCTTAGTTTTAGCTAGACTCTCATTCAGATATATCAAGAAGGAACTTGAAATTAACAAACATCACTACTTTGCCTTTTGCCTTGCGGACCCATGTGTTTTTGCCTCTATGTTCCGCTTCAGCTACCTCAGAAGTTATCACACACAAATTTGAAATTAAGGATGTTTTAAGTGTTTTGAAGTGTTACATTGTATTCCTTTTTAAAATTTATTTTTTAACCGTACGACTTTTTTTAATTCAATTTGTAATCTGCCCCCTCCCCCATTCTCTTTCACATGGCAATAGACTCTTTTTGCGATCCTTGGCTTAACCAGGTGATATTTACTTTCTCACATAATAAAGAAGAGTATATACCTCACTTAAGTAATCCAGCAATCTGATTGGTCGAAATTGCATTCATAAACTTTAACTGTTCCCGAAAATTCCCGGTAACCATGGTTAAAAAACAGTTCAAAATCCCAATAACCATGGTTATTGGGAAAATAGGTCAGTCTCCATAGTTACCCCGTAGGTTTACATGTTAAAAAATGGTCTGAGCGATCGAGGATACCGTACGTGTGCGAAGAATTGGTCGGTAATTTCAATACAATTGAATCTCGATCAATCTTACCGACAATTTTATCTTGCATTGTTGACATTAAGACGAAAATAAACTTCCAAAAACAAAAAAACAACATCTGCCGATAGATCTTGATCTAAATTCGTGCCAATATGCATTGCAAAAGTAAAAGAAGGGCCTGTTTAATGGAGCAGCCGCGAAGCTTCCACCACGCGAAGCCGTTTTTAATCCATTTTAATGTATATATAAGAAAAAACTGCTATGTATGGTAACAGAGCGCGATAGCCGAGCGGTTTAAGGCGGCGGTTTTCGTTACATCACCTTTGGTACGTAAGAGATCGAATCCCATCTTCGACAAAAGTTTTTTTTTTTTTTTTATTTATTTATTTTTTTTTTTTGGCATATAAAAGTATTAATGACTGCTTTAATATTCGAGAAATAGTTGTTTTTATACGCTCTCGGGAAGGTTACAATTGGGCTATTGCCCTCGGCACGCCTCGGGGCAATAGCACAATTCTAACCTTCCCTTGAGCGTATAAAAACAACTATTTCTCTCAAATCAGTCATTTTTTACTATAATAGATAGGACAAACATATTAAGAGATGACACAACAATATTTCATTCATAGTATCATACATAATCATTAATATTTATTTCCATTTTAAAATCAACAATCTTCTTTTTTAAGAGTCCAAAGTCGGCACCAGACTATTAAAAGCATGACACAATATCAGATTTTGAGCAACAGTAATAAGCAATATTATACAGTTACAATGTCATCAATTCATGACTGTCTTTCAAAGAAACATTTCTTTGAAATACAAAATGAGAGGTACCCTGCAAAGTAGTAGAATTAATGAGAAAATACAATAAGTTATCTTGACTATTTAACCTTCTTGGTTACTCAATATCAGAGAAATAGCACCATAAGAGCAGCATATCTATCAAATTTCAACAATATTTATAAATATGTTAGAAAATAATGAGATCTTGGTTTACCTGCCAGGCATTTCAGTGTGTCTTCCTTTCACCAAATTAAAAGTATTCTGAAAGCATACTAAACAATAATTTCAGTTAAAAATAAGACATTAAGATATATATATATATACATTGAAAAGCTAAACGAAACGAAAATTTAAAAAACTTTAAAAATTTCTGAGAAAAATCATTCTGATTTTAAGTAATAGATTAAACATCAATTATCTTCAAAATGATAAGTTTTCAGTAAATGAAAAATATGAGGAAAATAAATAAATCACACTATACCCAGAGCAAATAATTTACAAATACCATTTACTAGATTGAGTCAACTACTTTCCCAGTTAAGAAACCAGTCACGAGGAAGATCTTCCAGAGAGAAGCAATAACAAAGATACTGTGGGTATCTTTAGAATAAGTAAAATTCATCCCCAACTCTATGATGCTCAAATTATCAACAATGAGCGTAGAGGGGGAAGCATCCTATTCAAAAGGTCTGCATAGAACTCAATATAGAATTCTTAAATGTGGAAGTTAGGTGTTCAAACTTGCAATATATCTTTACAGAAGTAATCCAATATTCTTGATAGAATAAAATTGTGGAATACATAAGAAAAAGGAGACAAAACAATTATCAGTACATGTATTTTAAACAGCAGCTACAACTCTAGCTTTTTAACAGTGCATGTACAAGCATACAACACATCAAAAATAAAATCATCATTAAACTAACAAAATACATGAATATATTTAAACGGAGGTAGTGCTATCATTAAATTATATAAAAACCCATTCACAAATAATCCTAACCTATACTAGGAATAAAAAATATCACAGAAATGCATACATGAACATATTTTTTTAAGTACATGTACAATAAAAGCTTTATTTTCTCATGTAGCCACGGGCCATGTTGCGTAAAGACATATGAAGTGTGGTAATTCCATTTAGATTTGTTCAATTACATGTACGTTCTGCCTTAATGAAAACGTAAGATCAAAGCATTTGTTCTGACTGCGGAGATGGCTGATAAAGCAATTACCTCCTGAAAAACATACAACAACTGTTTATAACTTGAATACAGATAAGTAAAGGTTTACCAGCAGTGCTTCAATAATTTCACCGACCAGCATTTGCACAAAAGAAGCAAATTACTTCAAGATGCTATAAACTGGCGTATAGCAACTTCAACCTCCATTCCAAATCAGAAATATATGGAATATGACAGACTTTCAAACTCATATATCCATAAATACTCTCCCCTGCCCCGTGGATAAATTTCTGGGCTAACATCGAGGAGAAAGAATGACTCCATATCAAACGCTATTTTTCCATGATTTTCTTTCTTTCTTTAGCATTCTTTTACTGGACATGTAAAATATTACTTCTAGTTACCTCTCGACCAAGAGAAAGAAGGTTGTGCACAAACAAAATAATGAGTAAAAAAATGACTCCATATCAAATACTGATCGTGAAAGTTCAATCATTTCTTTAAGAATGTTCTAACATATTATATTTTGTCCCCTCCCCAATCCACAAGAAAAAAAGGTCGTGGACTAACAATGAGATGTGAATTAGGGGAACTCCAATTCAAATACTGAAGAGAGCCCCATGATCTTCTTTTTCAAACAGTCTTTGAATGTACATCTTCAGACTATAGAGGGCAGTCTTCAGGCATTATACATCTGAAATCGTGTAGTACCATTCCTGCCGGGCATTTACATCCTGGTATGCAGTTCTCCAGTTGATTACATTCTAAAGAATCTTCTATTGTGTTCACTGTTGAGCAAGTCTGTACGCAGGATGGCGTACACTCGTTGTAAACGGCTCCTTCTGGACAAGAAATTGCTGAAAAAATACAAATGAGGAAAAAATACTAAGAATACACATAATAGACTGTGTACAAAACATTTTCGTTGCAAGTAGGTATATTCTCGGCTAGGAGCCAAAAGACATTTCACTTATATACTCAAACACAAAGTTAGATAGCTTAGCAAAAATATAGTGTCATGAAAAAAGGGGTCTGGAATTGTTGAAAATCATGGTTTTATGGCAGTATGATAGAAATGTCTTTCTAGGACACTGGATTACCGGTAAGGAATATCTATTCTAGGAAATATCTATACTACCATATTTAGACTTAATATTACCATAATTTGTCATTTAAATATGTCGAAATTACACATTTTTGTTCACCATTGGGACTTATGCATTCCCGATGGATCTTTCTGTGCTATTACAATTTGCTACGTTACCTGGACACCCTGCTGCCTTTGAACACATGATATATCTTTGTAATCATTTAAAATGAAGCACATTGTCAATGGAGACACAAAAAATTGCAGATGGAATAAATCGAACTTGATTTACAATTCTCATATCTATTTAATTATTGCATGGACTAAATTACATTTGGGCTCTCACTGCGGGCATATTTCATTTCTGAAATCTGGTCTTCTAAACATTTAAATTCAATTTTTATTCTACGGCATATTGAAGGTAGGCCTACTTTTCTTTAAATTAAAATTTTCTTTAGAATTAGAATGCAAATCCAGGTTTTGAATCTTAGTGATATAAAAGTCATGTTGTAATACTATGTTGAGGTTGCTCTTTATTGTTCACCCCTCATTCTTGTAATTCCTTTCGTCTAATTGCTTTGTATTGTTTCTTATTGATGACGATCTGTTGTTTATATATTTCATGTACATATACTTCTTATTGAGATTGGAAATTAAGACTGAACTGAACAGAAATGAAATATCGGATAAAAGCAGGAAAAGAAGAATTTCAATAAGAAAAAACATTTCTAATCAAAATAACAACCCAGCTGGATCTAATGCTTCCTAAGGAGTTCTCTCTAAAACAAATTGAAGGAAAGAGTTAAAGTAAAAATCTCCTTACCACAATAGTTGTCTCTTTGCCAGTCTATCATGATACCTTTCTTTCTGGCTTCATGAGAATAGGCTGTTAATACATCACAGAGACAGCGCTCCTGGGCAGGGCAGGCACACAGATCATACATACAAGCCTCAAAGAAAGGCAGAGGTGGGACTAATGCATGTGCAGCAGCAAACGGTTCTTCCTGTCGATTGGAAATAGAGAAGAAAAAACATAGAGAGGAGATTTGTTTGCTGTTGATGAAAACAAAGCGCCATCTACTGTTCAAAAAAAGGTAAAGGTGGGACTAATGCATGTGCAGCAGCAAATGGTTCTTCCTGTTGATTGTAAATAGAGAAAAAAGGAGTAACAAAAATAGAAAGGAGTTATTGCTACACAAAAAGATGAAAACAACTTAAGGGGAATTCACCCTTTATTTACACGAGTGGAAACAGAAAAATATGTGAAACAGATTTGTGGAAAACTTTACATTAATTGGACAAGGACTGTTTGAAAATTCAGACATTTTACAAGTTGAGATTACTTAAAAGGGGGAAAACTAACATCAGACTTCATGAAAATGAAATTGTTGTAGACATGGAGTGCTCTCCTAATCAAAAATCCTCTTAACTGGAATTGGGTTTGAATAGAATTGGATTTGAAATGGGATTGTGAATTTAATTGAAATGGAAATGGAATTGACATCGGAATGTAAATTGAATTTAAATGGGAAAAAGAATGGAACTGAACTGGATTTGAATTGGAAGCTAAAATTGAAACAGAAACTCACCTTGAGTATGCTGCATTTTTCCCTAGCCATGAATTCCATGTCAGCGTTATCGTTTCTGACGCAAGGGGTCTGTTCTACGCTCTCTTGACATGAACATTCAGCGTAATCGCCTACCAAGTAAGTGTTTCCAAACTCAGATGCAGTGCCACACAGTGTTCCATTAGAAGCCCTGTTATACATAAAACAAAGAGGTGTTATGGTCTAGTGGATAGGTCGCTGGACTGTGAACCACAGGGTACAGGATTCAAATCCCTGCTGCAGCACTAACATCCTTTGGAAAGATATTAAGCTACATTTGGCACACTTGACCAAGGTGAGGTAAATGGTTACCTGCCAGGAATACATTCCTAACAGTGCTAGAGCGCCATAATGGCGGCCATGCTAAAGCCGGAGTAATAATCGTGGAGCACCAGGAGTGTCAAGCCTAACAGACATCATTGCTATAAAAGAGTCCACTATTATAATAATATAATAATAATAATAATAATCTTTTAAAGTCCACTCCAAATTTTAATAAACCAAAAATTGAAATCCTTTTTGCCCAATTGATCGTGAGTCCAGCACCACTGAGCAGCACCAGATTGACGTTGCTCCATCCCTTTTTTTGAACGCCAAACAAGGTAGCAGCAACTCCCGTCTTTTAACGTCTTTTGGTATGATGCGGCCGAGGTTCGAACCCATGACCTCCCGGTTGTGAGGCGGACGCTCTACTGACTTAGCCAACATACCGGTCATAATAATAATAATAATAATAATAATAATAATAATTATAATAATTATTGTTATTACGAGTGCCATTATTGAGTTACATATGGGAATAAAGATGGTTTAGTTTTTTTTACAGGTAAAGTGCATTCGAAATAAATATTGTGCAATGTAAAAGTCCCAAATAAGTCTCATGGTTCGATATCTATATCAAGTTTGATAATCATCATCACAAACTAACTTGCAATTGGTTTCATTGTAATCATACATAGAAAATGAAAGTGAACTCAACCCAAAAAATTAATTGCTAGAAAAAGGGCTAAGCATGGAGTAAATTGATTTTGATATCACTCATTATGGTTGTGGGTCTGGACTTGGTCCAGTCTTGATCAACCCTCTCCAGTGGTGAATATGAAAGAGGCATGCGTTATCTTGAAAGGGACCTACCTGAATTCATCATCAGGGTTACCATTGTAATCACCACACAATCCACAGAGAAGTCCTTCCCATATCCCATCAGCTACAACCTCGGCAAAATGAGATCCATCCCACGAAAGAGATATACCAATGTTTGTATGAACCACTACCATGAGACCTGTATAAAGGGGAAAAATACAGTATAAACATAACAATTAATCAGAGAGTATGTTTGACTTAGAACCAAAAGAAAGAGCACACAAAAGGCAAATTTTCCTTATATGCCATCAACAACAACTTCACCAAAGTGTGCTCCATCCCATGAAATACTTAAATGAGAGCTCTAAAGAAAGGAAAACAAACATTATTTAAAGTCAAAGAACTAAAAGAACAAGCAAGAGAGAACTATTTATATCCTTGTGTTCATCATGCAATTGCACAATACAATCAACCCCCCCCCCCAAAAAAAAAAAAAAAAAAAAAAAAAATATATATATATGAATTAAAAAAAAAAAAAAAAAAAAAAATACCGATAAATAAATCAATTAATTAAAAAATCTAAAAAATCAGGGACACAGGAGAATTTCCAAATAGCCAAAACCTTACCTAATTTTTGTATACTGAATTCAGGTTCATTGAGGTACGGCAAAGTGATTTCTTCTTTGTTCAGTCTTACAGCAAAGTCTGGTAAGAGGTCGATGGTCACATTATGAACCTTGAATGATACCAGCTCCGTCCAGGATACAGCATATGTTTCCTTTCCGTTGTTCTGTACTATGATCTACAGGAGAGTGAGCATAATAACAATAAAAATATTAATATGCCGATGGTCACATTATGAACCTTGAATGATACCAGCTCCGTCCAGGATACAGCATATGTTTCCTTCCCATTGTTCTGTACTATGATCTAAAGGATATAATGATAATAATAATACAAATATTAATATGTCTTTTTTACCCAGGACGCATTATTTTTTCTGCGGCACAGATTAGGGTTGGGTGCGTGTTAAGCCTATGGGAAACTTTAGGGTTAGGGTTAGGGTTAAATCAAGACCTCTTTTAACAAAAAAAGCCCCAATCTGTGCCACAGAAGAAAATATTGCACCCAGGGTAGCCTCATTAGTATTAATAGTGTTCTCTCTGAGGGCCCTGCAATCAGTATGGCAAATGTAGATTAATGTCTTGCCAAAAGACATTAGTTCCACGGCGGAACTCGAACTGCGAACCATGTGATCCACACTCCGGTGATATATCTACTACACCACGACACCTCTACATCAAAGGAAGCCTATAGTTCAACAGGAAAATTGATTATCATGTGGATTGGATGTTAAGATTAGGATCTTGCAAATTTGGCTCCGGAGATGTACAGATATAGTCTGGAGATGTCAACGGACTGTGGATAACAAGTTTCGTGGTTGGAGTCCAGCCATAGCACTAATGTCCTTTAATTGGCAAAGCATTAATCTTCATTTGCCACTCTCCACCCAGGAATAGTAAGTGTGTACCTGGCAGGATTTTTTTTCTTGAATGCACTGAGTTGGCGAAGCTAAAGCTGGGGTAATTATATCCAAAGTCCTTCGGAAACACGTAAAAGTGTCATATTGTAATGTGATATGAGCTATACAAGAACAGCATGTTATCTTCATTACTTTTATTATTATCACCATCATCATCCTCATCAGCATAATCATCACCATCGTCATTCATCATTATTATCAATAATATTATACACCTTTTAAAATTCATAAACTCAAATATTTCATACCTTCTTTCTCAAAAATCAATAATATTTAAACAAAATTTATGGAAGAGAAGGTTTACAAACCTCAAACTGATTAGTGCTGCAGTCTTTACTGAGTGTGTAGGTGCAAGTTCCTTGGAAGTCATGGAATACCTTATCAAACGTTCGGTAGTGAGGATCTCCAAAGACTATGCACGATCCCATTTCTGTAGCACAAAATTCAAGGAAAAGGAAAGAAAAAAGAACCAGAAAATGCAGTGTTAACACATTTGGTTGAACATGTATATAGTCAAGACTAGAAATCAGATGAATGCCTATACAAATTATTCTCAAGCATCATCACAATTCACCTTATATTCAAAGGCCTAGAAATAACAGTCCAAAATAAAATAACAGTTTTGCAATGAAAGGCTCTGTAGTTAAGGCCAATTGATGCAACTATAGGAGCAACATATCTCTTGTGTTCGAGAGTGCTCTTGCTCCAGGCTTAAATGACTGAAGGTATTCTTTTAAGGGTAATAGAATAGTAGCACAAATAAAGATAATGCAAAATTCTTGAAAATCAGAAATTTTATTCACAAAGTTGTTGAGCCACTGTGTTAGTTCTTGATTAGCATTATCATTACCTAAACCTAAACCTTCATCAAGATATAACCAATAAGAACTGTCAATGCACTCGGGATGTGCCTTTTTCTGTCACTGCATTCCGAGAATATCTTACTTTCCAAAAGGTTCAAAGTGTGTGTTTATCATCTGATAAGCATACATCTATCTATTAATTTCCCATAGCTTGGAGGCTGTTGAGGCAATAATGAAATGGACATTTAAACACAGGTTGTTCATAAGTTCTTGTCGTCAGCTGTTCTAGTTAGCTGCTCAAATGTCATGCCCGCCCACTGTTATCTGTCCATGTCTTAGTTGGTCTGCCCCTCTTTCTTCTCCAATCAGTTCCTCCTTGCAAGATGGTGTTTGCCAATCTATTCCTTCATCTAGTTACATGCCCAAACCACTGTAGCTGTCTTCTTTTCACAATTGTGATGAGGAGATCATGTATAACTAATAAAAAGACTCATAAAAACTATTTATAAAGACTCACTTGGCACACACTCTTCACAACATCCATCGGGTGCCATCTGTACCTCATCTCCCTGTAAAAGACAAAACAGGAAATTCATGATGACTGAAAGAAAAGATCCTAAGTTTAAATTATTTCTAAGTTGGACTTAAAAGTTATGGAAAGCCGTTAGCATCTTGGAAAATATGTTGTAAAAGTTATTTCAAACGGCATAAAATGTTGATTCAAATCATTCATATTTTCTATTATTAATAAGATTTCATGTTCTTGATGAGGAATTTATGAAAATTCAAAAATACTTTAATTTTTGCTTTTGAATATATTTCATTTTAAGGCTACAAATGGCTCTCCACAATATTTAAGACCAACTTAGAGTTAAGTTCGACTTAGGATCTTTGTGAAACACCCCCCTGTTCTTATGAAATAAGTTTCATAAACTTACATATTGAGAAAAAATAAGAAATCCTCTAGACTTTTGTAAAACAGAAATGAAAGTCTAGACATTCCATAAAAGGGATTAACATGACATTCTACATAGAATGACAAAGAAGGTCCATAATACATTCTTATGTGACTTAGTATAATTCATTGATTGGATGTTTTGATACCATGTGTTTATAGCTAATAACACAGCTAAAAAACCACAGTACTCTGGCTAAGACAGTTCAGAGGTAACACAGGAAACAGGACATTTTACAAACTGTTTGTGTGCTTGGCGAAACAATAAATTATCTTTAATAGCTTAATCTTCCTAAAACATTAATTATGATACACCAAATTTCACTATGATATTAGGCAAGAAACTTTCCAATATTCTTTTTTTTAGTAAATGTAAAACCATTGACATATTGTCTACCTGAACTGGGTGGTTCCCGTAATAAACCCTGGAGAAATGAAAAATTCAGCACTCTAAGGGTTTATGCATTCATTTATTTATTTATTTCAGTCCTCTATATACAGGGTAGCAATTGCAATATTGAGTACCACTCTACCAAGCGGTCCTGTGTCATTATATTATATTGTCTACACTATGTTATGACTCACCCCAAGACAGTTTAAGACCGGGCACTCGCGTCTTGCACAGCGAGGGTTTCCCCCCTCACAGATGCACTCCTGGCATCCTATCATGAAACTCCCCCCAGATGGAATGGCCTCACCCTGGAATGTACATGGCAGGTTATCTAAGGTCAAAGGTTAATGAGAAGACATTATTATCATGACAGATACAAAAGAAGAAATGTTTATCACGACAGATAAAAAGAAATCATTATCATGACAGATAAAAAGATGAGATTATTATCTCAACAGATAAAAATAAATTATCACCACTGATAAAAAGATGAAATTATTATCATGACATATAAAAAGGAGAAACTATTATCATGAAGGATAAAAAAGGAGAAATTTCCAGATTTGCATAGCATTCTTGGACAGACACATGAACCATAATTGTTGTTTTAATGACATTTCATTTATTGAAAATGTCTTCAGCAAAATAATGTAAGTGAGATATTTTAAAACAAGCAACTTTGTGAAAAGACATGGATGCTAACATTGCAAGTGGCTGTTTCTTAACAACAAATTTGCATCTTGCAATTGATCCAGAGATAATATTTGTTGTGCCTTTTTAGTTCAAATCAGAATTCTGGAACATACTTAGTTGGAGAGCGCCAGCACAATGTTTACAGCATTCACCCTCTCCTTGAATCTGATCATCGACAGGGCAGTCTGGCTCTGGACAAGAGAAGGATTGACACCTCACAGAACCATCCTGTGAAAGCGAGAGAGAGAGAGAGAAGAGGAATCGTCATTGTTGGTCAAACAGTTTGTGAGCGTCAAGTAACAACGCCTGGCTGGAATGCTCCCCAGGGAGTGGAGATTGTGCACACAGTGTGTGTTGGCAAGCACTGAATCCAATGACCGGGGTAATAGTAAATCTGTAAAGCGCTTAGAGACATTGTATTAAGCTCTATATTATTATTATCTATTAGTAAAATCAAGGTCTAGATGGCAAGTCAGTGGACTTTATCCTCTTGGATTCAAATCTCTGACATGCCACTATATACTGTCCTTTGGCAAGAAATAAATCTACACCTCATCATGCTGGTAAATGTTTACCCAGAAAGAAAAACAAATCCATAATGTATTAATCCCTTGTCTACTTGAACCGCATGGATCCTGTATTAAGTCTATGGGAATGAGATGATTTAGTAGTCAACAGGTTAACAAAGGCTCTGAAAGCTGCTACAGTCAAACCTGTCTATAGCGACCGCCGAAGGGAAACACAAAAAGTGGTCTTTGTAGACTGGTTCTTTTAGTACATGTTTCAATGAGAAACCCATTTCAAGGGAAACAAAAAAATGTGGTTATTGTAGACAAGTGGTCTTTGTAGACAGGTGGTCACTAAAGCAGGTTTGACTGCATATGAATATCAACTCATATCATTTAGGCTAACTTCTTTTAACTCTTCCAAGTAAACACTGTGAAACAGTGTTATATCAATAAGAGTGCAATATTTGAATATGGTTCACTGTATGAATGGCACATGTAGGTGGACAAGGTCAAGGTATTTTGTCCTGTATATTAATGGCCATCATTATCATCATCATTTATCAAAGTCAGCTATTTACTTCTAACAAGGGGTTTACTGACCTCCCTCCCTCCACTTCTTCTCCTCATTTGGGCATATATTTCTGCCTTTTTGCGAATTTAGGTTGAAGTATTGCCATCTAAACCTCTGAAGGCAATATTTAAACAATATTGAACGGATATTTTGCACCCAAAACCCTTGAACCGCAATTTTACCACTACCTGTCTTTACCTTTAAGTTAAAAAATATTAATAACTCCATAATGCTTGGACTTACAGCGCAGGTGCAGTTGGTGCAGACATCCCCCATGGGAATAAAGACCTCATTGTCCAACACCAGTCTCCCATCAAACACACAGGCATCGATCTTACAGACGGGGCAGCAGGAGCCGGGTGGTCGGACCTGCCTGATCTGTGGGCAGCCAATGTCCATGCACTCCTGAGCTTCGCATAATAACTCACCAGCCTTCAATATAGAAAAGAAAAAGGTTATTTTCATTGCAATCCCATACAAGCAGCAGTGTTTTCACAATCAATTGACCATTTTCGTAATGTAACCTAACCTGATTCATACATCTTTGTGAAGTGCCTGGATATGAATTATTTAATTCATCTGTTACAACTTCTTGTATACAACACAACGCATTCTGACTATTAAAATATAATAATGTGTAACAGGTGAATGAAATATTTGTATTAAGGCATTTCAGGTGGAAGGTTGAATTTCCATTGCTGTTCGTTTCATTTCATTTATTTATTTCCACGTCAAGATAAAAACAATATTGTTGAATCTTTAAAATACAATCATATATGAGTTATCTAAAGTTGGATTAAAAGCCATTAAGTCAGACTGATTTTCAATGCTTACCATACATAGGCACGTAGAGCACTCATCAGGCTGATGCGATGACCCACTCTGTAAGATCACGTCATCGATCTGACAGGTCATTCTTGAAACCTCGTAATCTTGATGAAAAAAGAAATAAATGCAAACATTTACAGAAATTGTGTTGTAAAACTTGATGAAAAACGAAAACCATCCAATCTTTCCATACTATGTTTTTATACATTGTAAACAAATTTCAACGTTTTCTAAATTCCTTCGTCCCTTTCTTGATCCGCAAATACAATCAAAATGCTACCTGTATTTTACGTTCGTCTTTATTTCTGAAATTTTATTTTTGTAACCTTTCCGGGCAATCACGTTCACTCAAACAGTTTAAAATAATTCACTTATTTTGTTTTATAATAACGTATGAAAATTTCTGTAAAGCTATTTTCTGAAGAATTTCTATGTCAAAGTATATGATATATATTGTGTATGTAAATTTATTTTGATTCTTTGTACGTTTGTAAAATGTGAGCAAAACAAATTTCCAATATTGGACAATAAACTGAAATTTAATTTAATTTAATCATTTAATAGTTAAACAAATACTTTAATCTTCAGGAAAGCTTAAAGTAGGAGTCAAGTTGATCTCATAAATATTTAAATGTATGCACCGGAATCCTTAACCATCGAACGCACACATACTGTACAACTCTGGCTTGTTCCACACCACTGTCCAACCATGGACCCAATCGCAAGTTCATCAACATCCCATTGAAGCATATGACTTTTAAATTTCATACTTTTATAAACTAAATTGTTTTTGAAATAGGCATTCTCACTCACCGACACAGTCAGGGCAACACGCCCCATCCCTGAAGACGACAGACTCTGCTGGGCAGTTGGGTAGCGGGCAAGTAATGGGCTGGCAATTTAGACGGTCATCCTGACAGACGCACTCCATACAGTCATGGGTAGCGGGACTGAATGTTTGGCCATTGGTGTAGTTTGTGTTGTCATATGTACATCCTAACAAGATCGGAAGAAAACAAATATTTGGAAGTTCAATTTGTATCAGAATAGGTATTCAATTTAGAAAATTAGGACTTTTATTCAAACAGACACTCTCCGTTCTATAGTGGTTGGGGCATGAAGGACTGAAAATGTGAATAATCACCTTAGCATCCTAAAAACAAATATAGTGGAATAACACAAATTTGAATTGTGAATCTAGTGGTTAAATGGGAATGTTAATAATACTATTCATACCGGTAATAGAATCTTTTCACATTTGTAATCACACTTCAAAAGAGAACAAATAGTTCAGGAATTTCGGGAAATGAACATCAAAAGAATGAAAAAGTAAATTTAACAGATAAAATGGATATAGATTTAAATTGTACAGTCAAACCTGCATTGGTGGCCACCTCTCTATAAAGACCACATGCCTATAGTGGCCATATCTTTTGTCTCTCTTTAACAAGAAATATGTGTTGTTGGTCCCGTCTACAAAGGCCACCTGTCTAGAGTGGCCATTTTCAAAGTTTCCCTTGAGTGACCTTAATAGACAAGTCTGACTGTATTCACAACATGGATTGGTAGTTGGTTTGATTCACATTTACAAAAATTGAAATCAGGTCGTAAATGAAATCAGATTTGCTTGGAACAGAAAACATAACGGCCTAACCCTTTCATATACTAAGCAAATAAATAGTGTTGGTGAAGTAGATGGGACAAACTATCACTTCCAAGGCGATCTGGATGTACCGGTAGCTATCTTTCCGAAGATAAGCTGAGGAAAGATAGCGTATACATTTAGATCGCTGAGGAAATGATAGTTTGCCATCGCCTGAAACCAAAAGGTGATTTGCTTTATATTCCACATATCATTTCATGAATCATTTCACTGGTAGGGTCTACGAGAAAGACAATCTAACTGTTTTTAGTGCTACGTGAGTACGTATACGCAACATATAAAATTTAATTTGTAATTTGCGCCACACATCGCCGCGGTGGCCGTGGTCACCTGCTGCATTAAAGATAGTACACAGTGTAACAATTTTTTTCTCCCATCCGTGATGGGCGAAACTATCGATCATCACGTGATTAACTTTTGACCAATCGTAGAGCAAGATTATCAGTATGTGGAATATAACAATTGATAACTAACCTTGACACGAGGCACAACATTCTCCATACTCAAACTGCAGGTCTACACAGTCCCCTATGGGACAGATAGGTGTGTTGCATTCTATCTCGGTGTCCTGTAATATATTCAACAAGATATGAAAGAGATTAATTGGGGTAAATAACTTAACCCCAAAATGCATTAAAAATGCATTAAAAAGGCGAAAAAAAGACTGCAAAATGCATTCAAAAGGCTATCCGCCCATTCTGTAACTGGACATTGTGGCGTGCGCATGTAATCCAGCTAACAATGAAAGTTACAAACTGATTCAGCCGAGGACGCATGTTCAACACTGAGTTGCGTCTTTCGGATGGTGACGTTTAAAGGTCGGTCCCCAGACGTAAGTAATCATATCTGATTGATACACGTCTGTAAAAACCCAATACACACACACACATTCAGCTGCAGTTTTATACATTCACCAATGGGAGATATGGTGTGATATTCAACCAAAGACATAAAATTAAACAGAATGAATTCTGTGAGTGAGGTCTACATTCATCAAGCCAACTGTAGTATGAAAGAGGCTACCTTATACCAAAAAATAGGATGTAATTGTGTAATCTACAATAAAAAAAAAATCAATGCACATTGTAAGCACATTCACCACACTTATTTCTACATTATTTTCAAATTTGACACCACTCATTGTGGATCCATGTATAGCTTTTGGTAACATTACTTTAATTTTTTGAAGAATTTTTTTTGGGGTCTAGAATAGCTCTTAGTTTTAACTGTTTTTCCTCTATATTACAATAAATTACTCAGATGATGCATGGCCCCCATTAAGCATGTAGATGTGACCTGATAAAAGACTAAAAATTGCTGCTGAATGTTGTATGCATGTTAATGAGTGAAGAAAGGAAGTCAGGATGGGGGGGGGGCCGTTTTGGGGGGAGAATGTCCTCTGGGTGGTTGTATGGGGGGCGTTTATTGTTCTAGAGGGTAAGTTTCAGCGGTGGGGGGGGGGGGATCGTCTTAGGGGGTAGTTGTCCTGATACGATTATACATGTTAAACACACCTCCACATTATGTGGGATGAAGTGAACTTGAACTTGAACTTGAACTTGAAGTTGAACTTGAAGTGAACAAGTGAACTTGAACTTACGATACATCTGCATGTTGTACATGGATCTTCTCCGTCCTGCCATGTCTGACCGTGGCTGTAGATGGTGCCATCTTGAGCAGTGCAGACGGCACACTGAGGGCAGCATTGCCCAAACGCTTGCAGGGTCTGACTGCAGTAGATGGGAGGACAGCTATCTTCCTCGCAAACCACGTTTCCATTCTGATGAAAAGAATACAATTTAATATTTGATTGATTTTTATTTATTTATGGCAAAAATAACAAAAAAATATAAACTGGCAATGAAATAGATTCATTCACAGGCACATATTGTTTAAAATATTATGTTTAAATATAATTATATTATTAGGTTTTCTACTAAACGTTGTACGTTGTAAGCTAATGCTAACTAAAATTCATCCAAAATCATGGATCACAGATAGCAGAGGTGCGATAGCTCAGTGGTAGAGCAGCGGTCTTGTAAAAGGGAGGCCTCGGGTTTGAAACCAGGTAGAGGCACTAGAGTCCTTTGGCAAACATTAATCCTAATTACCAAGAGAGGACTTAATATCAATGGTCTTCTGATTGCTTACTTACAAGCATTCACATACTCTCTTAGCAGTCAAATGAAACAAAACAATTAACATCTGGCATATGTATCTTCTTCTTCTTATCGAGTCACGACACAAGTCCTGTCCAGTGCTCCACACAGGCTCTGGCACGGCAGTTCACAGCTTCCAGGTCATCTTGGGTGGCATATGTATCATTTTACGGTAGTGGAATAGTATAAAACGACATTCAAAAAGTACCATACCAGTTTCCTTGTCACTTATAAATAAATCAACACTTACAAAGCATTCACATCTTCTGCAGTTGTCATCGTTGGGGCTAAAGCTGGACCCATTCCTATAGAGATTGCCTTCAAACTCACAGACAGTGCAGTCTGGACAGCACACACCCTCTATCTGGACTCCGTGGGTGCAGTTAGAGGTTTCAAGGCATGGTATGGGCACACAGTTGATGATGGTATCCTGTGGTACCGGGGAAAGAAATAGAACAGGATTATCAATATTGCTAGAGTATTCTAACATATAAGTAGTTTACAGAGCACAGAGTAAATTCACGAAGTATTCATTTAAAGCGTATCTGTACTAGTTTATAGGAGGGATTAGGCAGCCCTGTAAGGTCACTGCACAGGTGGTTATCTCATCAACTCAGCTCTCAATTAACATAAGAAAAAGAGGATCATGGGGGACCAATGGTCACCAATTAGGCATTGTTTTCTATATAGAGGGAGCAAGTAGCTACAAGTAGGACAGTGTGGCTTTAATATTTAATGATAAGAACTAGCGCAAACATGAATTCCCCTCCTAAGAATTGTGTAAATGTATCCTGATATGCCATTTTCGCAATTATCATTGTTGTATTTAGTGTGCATTCACCAAATAGCAGTACTGCAGGAACGATGACATAAAAAGGTACATGTATTTTGGGGTGACAGTGCAAGGTTGATACTAGTCCTAAACAAGAGAAGATGAACTTGTGGTACAAATACATTTTTTCAAGGTTTGAAACTTTATTATTCATCACAATCCTTCCATCATCATCATTAATACCTCTACCCAATCTCCAGTAGTGTTTCGTAATCAAAATCACCACCATTATCTTTTCTCTTCTACCATCCCCATTCCTCCTTTATATAAATGACTAACATCGTCCCCACCATCAACACCAGTATCATCACCACTATAACAATCATCATCATCCTCCTCATCATCATTACCATCATCATTATCATCAATACCACAATATCCACCAATGTCATTTGACATTAACATCATCCTCTTCAATGCCGATACCACCCCAATTAGCATCACCATCCAACTATCTTCATCACCCCAATCACCACCACCACCACCACCACCACCACAATCATCATCATCATCACCACCACCATCAACATCATCATTCTCCACCTCCACCACCATCATCATCATCACCACCTCCACCACCACCAACACCATCATCACCTCCACCACCACCACCACAATCATCATCATCACCACCATCACCATCATCATCATTACCACCACCACCATCACCTCCACCACCACCACCACCACCATCGTCATCATCATCATCATCTATGAGTGATGACATCTTACCAAACAGGTGCACTCTTGACATGGATCAGATGATGAAATCCAAGACTCCCCACTCCTATGTTCACTACCATCATCACTACGGCAGAAAGCATCTACAGATACAGGTAAAGGACAACATCAGTTTACTTATTATCAACCCTTTGACATATTTACTCCCAAAACTAATCAGAGAATCCTCCCATGGTGATACATACTATCATCAAGTTTGAAGTTCATACCGGAAGTGGTTCTCGAGATATTACAATAGTGAGAAAGCAGGATAGACGGTGGACTGACTACACGAAAAAACACAATGCCTCCAGCACCACGTTTGGTGGGTAGAGGCATAAAAATGTTTGGTAACAGTAACAATGAGAGTGGGTTGTGGTACTTGTACAGCAAAAATAGTTATGATTTCTTACTATAGATCAAATGAAAGAGGAGCTTGAAAGATATTATACATCACAGGGTTAATGATTCACGTTCGACCAATTGCAACTCCAACAATTCATATCCTTTTTATTCTTAAGTTGATGTTGCTAAGCTTTCAATGATCTGTTTCTCTAATGGACTTCCTCTTTAGGGCAACATGATGATGAGTCTTACCGGCACAAGATGGGCAGCATTCTCCAGCCACCGTGGTAGTCACTGGACAGTTGAGCATTGGACATTGCTCCCTCTCCGTGCACTGTACTGATCCTTTCTGTAATGTGCATGAACAAATAAAATATGATCCAGCACCCCAAAATCACTAGAGATGATTTCTCAGTTAGGTCCAATTCTAAAGGAACAGATTCTCAGCTTCAAAATGATATATAATAACTCACAATTGGATGTCCTAACCAATTGAAAAAGGAGGAGGTTGTGACTCTAGTATTATACAAGCATCATATTGTAACATATACATGTACTTCTTCCTTTTTTATTCTCATTGAATTAATGTAGATGTTAATCAAGCAAGGAATTTTGTGAGCCTTCAATAATGGCAAGATTTATCCAAATTAAAAGTTTCACATAGCAATCTTTCCGTAAACACCAGGAAAAAATGACAAACAAAAGTATAACTGTTTTAAAACAGCAAAGAAAGGATTCATACTATGAGTGATAAGCCATATAGTAGAAGAACTTACATCACAATGACATGTCTTGCATGAATCAAGGGCTGGATTGAAGTATTCACTATCGGGGATGATCTGACCCAAGAAATAACAATCTGTAAAAAAACAAATATGGAATAGGAAATTGATGAATATTTTGAAAAACACACAGCACAGTAGTTTCATATCTAGCAAAGATACATGTACATGTCAGGATTTTAATGTTTCAAAAGAAGAGACCTGGGCCTGTATTCAATTCAATACTTACGTACAAATGTAAGCTTTTTACTTAGTATTTGGTTTAGATAAAATACTTAGCCAATTTTGGTATTCAATTCACACTTTTGGCTAAGTATTTAACTCTAAATCTAAGCCAACTCCATACCACACTTAAGCCAATTAGTTGGATGCCTTCATTGGCAGGCATATGGTTTTCTTACGCAGTATTATAACCTGCGCACAATTATATCAGCACGCATTTATTGCAATGCATCAATTGCGCATTACTTTTGATTGACCGTGTGACGTCACAATGCTTTTTAGTAAGTATTTTACTTAGATTTTGTCTTACGTAAGTATCAGTCTAAAATGCGATTTGAAAACGAGATAAGTAAATTACTTAACCTAGCCATTTACTTAGTAAATTTCTTACTTATGCAAAGTATTGAATTGAATACCGGCCCAGAAGATTGCATATATATGTGTACCTCTACATGTACTTAAACAATAGAAACAATGTAAATTAAATTCAATGCTCTGATTACATGTGAATAATGAATGGAAATTTGTTTTGCTTACGTGAATATTATTAACAATATAAGTTGTTAACTCTTCCTAACATAAATGTAGCTATTAAAACTATAATTGAAATATCTTTGTTGAAGTGGTATTCATAGTTACGGACTTTGAGAATCACTTTGGGAATAAAACCCTTTCTCTGCTTCAGTTTATATTGTTCTCATTTCATGAATTGAAAATCATACAGAGTGTAACAATTCAACAAGAGAATGTATTTAGAATGGTTTTTCTTTAGCATTTAGAATTACTGCTGTTGGTCAATTTTCGATTTCAAAATGCAAAGCTGACCATGGAATGAAAAATTTTAAAATGTTTTATATACAGTGCAAATGTTCAACAAAATGGCACTTAGAATTATTATAATTAAATATCAATCCCTCTTCACTCTTCACTATCACACTATCCCGTACCTTCACATAGAGGGCAGCATTCTCCTGGCGGATGATAGGGGGCGCTACACTGGACGTTGCAGCTGGTTGGCTCACAGATGACGTCTCCGCCAAGACAGATACAAGAATCACACTTATCAAAGGCAGACTTGAACGTGGCTCCATAGGAGAAACCGAGACCATTGTAGTAACATCCTGCAAACATTCACAACATGGTGGTAGTTATACAGTAGGCTTGCGGGTGCACCATGCGAGAGAGAGGGAGGATTGAAAAGTCCTGAAAAGGACTCTCGGTAATCTTTCTTGAGGGTTTGTAGTCCTGAAAGGACTGTTTGGTATAGTCTTGAAAAAGACTGTTGGTTATCTTTCTTAGCTTATAGTTCTAAGGAGAACTATAGTGCTTGGAGAGGATGAGTGGCGGGAGTGGCTCGACGTTTCGAACAGGTTGACTATCCGCCGTCAGGAGTGGTAGTTATAGTTATAGTAGTGGAAGTTATAGTAATAATAATAATATAAACATTTATATTGCACATATAGCCATCCCAGGGGAAGCTAAAGGGGCCTACAAAGTACTATAATTCCCCTCGCTTTAGCCCAGCTGCCCTAACTTGCTTGAAGCATTTAAGGAATAAATTCCTACCAGGTATACATTAACTACACTTCGATGAAGAGTGGGAAATATAAATTAATGTCTTGCCAAAGGACATTAGTGCTACGGCAGGGCTCGAAGAGCGAACCATGTGATCCACAGTCTGGTGACAAATCTATTAGACCACGGCACCTCTATACTACCTCTCTATATTAATCATGTAATATATTATATATATGATTGATTGTTGTAAAGCGCATAGAGAATTTATCATAATGTGCTGTATAAATATGACTTTATCATTATTATTATAATAGACAACAAAGTACAAAGTTAAAAATTTAAGTAGCTGTAATAGAAAAATGTAGCAGCACTAACTGATGCATCAGAGGGCAAATGGAAGAGTGGTTGAAAATCTAAAATTTTATCACATAGAGAAAGTACCACATCATTAGGATATGGAACTAAATGCCCTTTTATTATTTTTTAATCAATCATCTTGAAGTTCATAACACAACATATAAATCATATATTGTTAAGTACATGTTCATGTATAAAGTACAACATAAAATGAACTTACCATTGCAATCTGGACAACACTGGCCTCTAACATGGACTGGGTTGTTACAGTTAAACTCGCACTGCTCTCTAGCACACTGTACCTCACCAGTATTCTGTTGAACCATGAAACGATGATATTAAAATTATGATTAATAATGATAAATGTGGGGGTAACAGTGTTGTAGTTTGATTTTCGGCTCCCAGGAACAGATGATGCCAAATACTAAATAAATAATAAAGTATGAGATCTACCACATAAGGAAACCCTTCATTACAATCCACTAACTTACATGACCACTGCTGATGCAGATTTGAAAATTGTGGGAAAGAAACATGACGATCGCACAGATTTCCTGAAACAGGGCTGTCAAGACTTTTTCGAAAACTAAGAGGTGTTTAAATACTCACCAAACATGTGCATGTTAAGCAGGTATCTCTTGGGTCATTCCACGTTGTCTCGTACTGATGAAGTAAACCATACTTATCCACACAGCCAGGAACTGCACTGATACACTTCGGACAGCATTCACCAGGGAGCTGAACCCTCTCATTACGAGAGCAGTTTAGAGGAGGACAGTCAAATGGACGGCATTCCACAACACCTTTCTGTATTTGAGAATAGACAAGAACAAAAAAACATGTTAAACGTAACATTACTCTAAAGAAAACTAAAATTATAAGGTAATATTGCTGCTTCACTTCTTTATATTTCTTTTCCATTTGTTGAGGGGCCTAATGTGAGCAGTGCAATGCTGCATACTTATATAGGGGTGACATTACACAATACCTTTCTGTATTTCAGAATAGACAAATAATGATAATATTAAAAACGTTACTTATAACGCGCTTACCACCAAAGTCTCTAAGCGCTATAACAAACAAAATAGATAAACAATTACATATTAAACAAAACAAAAAAGTGCAAATAAACCTACAAATTACAATACATATGGAATACACATTAAAGTGAACAGAGTTAATTAATCATCGAAAGCAATTTTGAATAAATGTGTCTTCAGACTAATTTTTAATAGGTTAACAGTTTGACAGTTTTTGACAAGAGTAAAATACATGTGAAATGAATCTAAAGAAAACTAAGATTATAAGGTGTTATTGCTGCTTCACTTCTTTGTATTTCATTTCTTTTTCCCCTGTTTTCTTTTAAGGGACCTGACAATTATGAGCAATGCAAAGGTGGATATTTATAGGAGTAACAATGCACAATACCTTTATGTGTTTCGGATTAAACAGAGGAATATCTGTACATTGTTTATGAGTTGGACTATCTCATCACAATAGCATTTGAGGGCAGTCAAAGGGATGGCATTCCACAACACATTTCTGTGTTTTGTACCGGACAGAATACCACATGTGAATGCTTTTTGTTGATCAGATTTCATCAAGCAGAATAAAAGTGTAATGTAAAAATGTCTCAAAAACTGCCAAAGTAATTCCTGGAAATGGGTCTCTAAAAAGACTAATACTTACACTCTATACACGATACCATAATATCCCATTATTATATATTAGTATATAAAAAATACAGTGTACAAAACAAAATTAAAATTGCCCTGCTACATGACAATGCCAAGGTATTGTAACTCAGTGTACATGAACGTGACAGTTAGGCGGACAACAAAACTTACTTTGCATGTACAAACGCTGCAGTCCAAAGACGCTGCTGTAAATGTTTCACCGTCTTGGTATTCTGCACCCTGGAACTCACAATTATCTATTTTAATACAAATATAGATCAACAAAATATTGGGTTAATAACAACATCATAGTAGTTTAAACATATTTGTGGATTACACCCAGTAAATAAGATCAATTGAAATTTCTTCCAGGAAGCATTACATTTATAAAAACATCAAAGTACATCTACATGTGTGTATATACAGCCCATCAAATCCTGCAGGTAAAACATTCAAAGGGGAAATTCATCCTGATATTGATTTGGTTTAATGAAAGCAGAAAATTGGGAGAAACAAATTGGTGAAAGTTTGATTAATATCTGATTAAAAATAAGATACACATTTTTTAAGTTGTCTTCAGAGAAACACAAATTGGCAACACTGTGACATATTTCGCGAGCTTAATCTCCAATTTGCTCTGTACAGATACCTTCATAAACTGTCATTTTCTTAGCTAGTGATGAACACAAACTGGCAACACTGTGACGTATTTTGCGAGCTTCTATCCAATTTGCTCTGTACAGATAACTTCATAAACTGTCATTTTCTTAGCTAGTGATGACAAAATATCACTATTTTGAGCAAAACTACTTCATTGTTATGACTTATCTCTTCATAACTTCCAAAGCCCTCCATTCCTCACCTTCACATGTAAGACAGCATTCACCCTGAATAGGTCGGGAACAGTCAATCTCAGGACAGCTTACATTACTGCATCTTACATTACCATCCTGTAAAAACAAAATAATTGTGAATGTTACTGTGTCTTACATTTGCATCCTGTAATACAAAAAAGAAATTTGAATGTCACTGCATCTTCCATTTCCATCCTGCAAAAAGAACAGCTTGCTGCAATACCTTTTAGAACACATATTATGACAGTTTTATTTCCCATCCTGGAAAAAGAATAATTCTTGAGAGCACACCTTACATGTATATTATCATCCTCCATAAATATGGCTCACATTACTGCACTTTCACTTACATTGTCATCCTAAAAACATATCAAATCACAACAAATATTACAGCCCACAATAATAATTTGTTTTGTGTTTGAATATATTTGTAAATGTAATATTTCTATGTGCTTTAATATAAAAATGATGATTTGATCGCTTTCACTTTCTGAAATAAATGGGTCTACATATATTTCAAATGTACCATGAGATGACAAAACAAAAACAAAAACATTATCTGTTTGGAAAAAAAGGGTAATAACTAATTTATGTACTCTAACATAGAATGAACACCCTTCTGGCTCCAAAACAGATGATCTGGGGCCCGTTTCACAAAACCTGTCATCAGTGACAAATGACAGTATTGTTATAAGCTACTGAAATCCTTGCTTCTGATTGGTTATCAGCAGATATGTCACTGGTTTTTGTCATTTGTCATTGAAAAAAGAGCTTTGTGAAACGGGACCCTGATCTTAAGCTCACCTGGCAAATACAAGTCGTGCATTGTTGATTCATAGGAGAGAAATAAAGATGATTCCTGATAATGTTGCCTTCATAGAGACAATCTGAAACAAAAGGCAAAAGAAACATTTTTTTTAATATTAAGCTTTCAAGAATAATTAAATATCACAGACATGTACATGACTGTATTTCATATGAAAGCGGATTGTTTCATGAAGATTATGATTCATCTGTTAACATTAGTGATGCTATAAATCAATTACTCACACTCCTGGTTGGAGGTCATGGATTTTTGTTCAATCGCTTGTCAAACCTTCACCACCCAAAGCGTAATATATTAACAACTGTAAACATTCCTAATATTAACAATAATATTCTGGGTTGATATCACGCTTAATACCTGTACGATGTCTTAAAGTACTTTAGAGATCTATTATTACCAATGTAATCTCATTCAGGCTTGCCAGCACCCATTTAAACATGTTCTCCATGGCATTCATCAATTGCTGCTAGGTCGGACAAACTTGTTGGCTTGTCCTACCTAACAACGCGAAATATATGCAATTCACATTCTGACTATTGAAATACAGTAATTTGTAAAAGGTGAATTATATAATTGTTAACATGCCACTTAACAAAGATTTATATGCATTAAATTTGGTTACATTACGAAAATGGTCTATTCACATACCTGTGCATTCATGGCAGCATTCTGTTTGGTGAGGTGCAGGGTAGTCGCACTGTATGTCACACATTTCTCTCATGCATTTCACTTGACCATCGGTACAGTTGCAGTGGTCACAGGGGTCAAACGGCGATGTCCAGTTGGTAGAATGGACATACTCGATCCCCTGATACGTGCACTGCTGGAATTCTAAAACAAAAGAAGAAAACTGTAATGTGATGACCTCACTGGCAGGTATGATAAACATGGTACAAAATGAAAAAGTTCCACCACAAGTATCAACTTAACCCTTACTGTACTGGGGGGGGGGGGGGCCTGGGAGGCCCCCCCCCCTCGACATTTTCGGAGATTGCGCCGCAACCGCTTGAAATTTTGAATTGTCGTTTCATGACTTTTTTCCCTCAAGTCTTACGCACGTTTTGATACCATTTTCGTCGCAATCGGATATACCTGTGAGGTGTTACATAACAATTAGTATGCGCATGTCATCAAAAATATGCTATAATTGCATATATTCATGTACAAGCAGAAATGTGAATACAGGTTTAGATGTATTCCTTCCTAAGTGGGTGATATGAATTGATATCGAATTGCTTTTATATGTTTCTCAAAGTAACTTGATGTATTCCAGAACAAAAGAATACATAAGAAATAAAAACAATAGATATAATAAGAAATAAAAAAACAATAAAATACATAAGAAAATAAATATTTAAAAATCGCATCAAATTTGCATAAATTATCATTATTAATTACATCCAAATAAATATTTTGTGTTAGAAAAGAAGTTTCATATGAATAATGAGTTTCAACGTTCAAAAAGTGAAGTTTGACACGTTTTCTGTAAAATGCATAAAATTAGCATTTTGCATAATTAATTAGGCTATAACGACAAAAATTTGCATATTCGCAAAAAACTAATTACACCATCTTGTTCGTTACCTAAATATCTACAAACATGCAAATTTTCGTGTTCATCGGACATCCGACGGCCGAGATCATAGGGGGGGGGCCTCCCAGGCCCCCCCCCCAGTCAGGAGGTGCTCAAAATAGCCCAGTACAGTAAGGGTTAATACAAATTGCATTTTAACTAGCAACATCTACGCAAAAAAGGGATATTTATTCAAACACCCAGGGTAATCTATCATGCTTCAGCACTAGTTCCTGTACTTGGCGTAATTTTCCTCATCATACACTGAAAATGTCATATGGCACTGTACTTCTTAGTCCTTAAGTATATATGATGGTGTGACCATAGTTCACCGGTGACCTTAATTGGCGGGCAGATCCATTTCTCAAAAATTCAGTAAGATTTCAAAATCTGATATCACCAATTACAAATTACTTATTTGTACATGAAATCACATACTCTAGTGCTTTCTGACATTTGGTTTTTACAAAATTTTGTTCCAAAATATTTTTTCAAATCACTAAGGCGAGGCGTCAAAAATATTGATACGAGCAGGCTGCCGCCTCACGTATTGGCGCATCGAGGCTGCAATTACGGCCGAAGCCTGGCTGGGGCAATTATTTTTCACTTATTAGCCAGGCGGCTTGCGCCAGGCTGGGATCTAAAGCTCGGTTTCCATTCAAAAGGCGGATGCCATTTCCTACCGCCAGCGGTAGCCGGCTGAGCTAAATTAAAAAATGCAGCCAGGACGCACAAGTGCAGTTAGCTGCCGCTGGCTGGTATATTTATTTTTGACGCCTCGCCTAAATTTCTCTCAATCTAATCATCACACTGCAAACTCCATTGACCCGCTGATTACTGAATTCCTTCATTCCCATAGGCTTTATATAGGGGCCACTCGGTTCCAATAGGCAATGGGTTTATCCTACTTACTCGGTGTTGGGCAGTCGGTGCAGGTGGTGACACCCAGATCACAGGAGCATTCTGTGCACCCATCCACCGTCCATGTGGTGCCCGATGGATACAGATGGTTCTCATACACACAACCTGCACAAAGGTTATTATGAGAAACAAACACCGTTACTGGTACATTCGGTAAAGAGGGGGTACAATAATGGTAATAAATCATGTGTGCATATATATGGTTAACTACTAAATCATTCATACTCCTTGTAAACTTGATGCTTTTTGTAAATTTTGTTGCTCAAGAATGAAAGGTGAACTGGTTGAAATATGGCCTTTATTGAATACTTTTAGATGTAAGCTCTAACATGTCACAGTCTCACGAAACATAAATTGGGACAAATCCATTTGCTATATATTTTAGAAAATTGCAAAGCTTGTTAAGAGTATGAATAGTTTAGCGGGTTGTCAGTTTCAATGTGGACAAGACCATATTTCGCTGACACCAGATTAAATGCCATTAATATGTGTACAAGTCTGCACATAGCGAACATGTCGGCCTATCAAGAAATAGCCTCTTGGAGAGTTTTGGGGTGAGGTAAAAGTGAGGGGGATGCAAGGCATTACATATTAAAGACATGTTGGTCATAGAACTGAAAGCTAGTCCTGGAGGTTGACAACACCTTTTATTGTATAAACACCCGAATGGTGTTGGATTTCCTATGACAGCCCACTCCTATGCGACTTTAAGAGTAGGCTTTAGAAAATTAGACATTAGAAAACTAACCTGAGGGTCCAACACAAGTGTTGCCATCAGCCTCTAAGATGAATCCCTCAAAACAAGCACACAGGTACGACCCTATGGTGTTCAGACAACGCTGCTCACAGTCGTGTTCACCTTCACATTCATCAATGTCTGAAAAGAATCAAGATTAAAATAGTGAGAACACAAGCCTCATATTATGCACACAGGTACGACCCTATGGTGTTTCGACAACGCTGCTCACAGTTGTGTTCACCATCACATTCATCAATGTCTACAAAGAATCAGGATTAAAATAGTGAGAACACAAGTCTCTTGAGGCTACACTTACTTGTAGATGTAACTCACAGACTTTGGGATAATTCAACAATTTTAATGGAATAATTCTGTTCCAACTTTAAACCATAGAGTAATGCTATTTTTTCCACAAAAAAAACCTTTGAAAAAATGTAATAAAACGTAAAAGTTCCCTGAATGGAGGACATTGAAAACAGAACCCAAAAAGTGTAACTCAAAAATTGTGCATTTAAAAATTCATGTGATTACTGTTCAAAAACTTAAGAGTTACAGAAGGGAATGAAAACCAGGGGCCATATTGTGATTTATATGTAATCTTTTATGTAAGGGAAAGTAATGATAATTGTGATAACAGAGCGAATTTGCAGGAATTAACACTTATTTTTAAGTGACTTAACATCTATCAGATGTCTCTTGAATGTATTGAAATGCAGCCGGCTTTGCACAGACTTTAACTAATGTCTTGACCTAAATTTTATCTGAGTTGACAATGAAAACCGCTTTACTAACATAAACAACATTATTTTTAGAATACTTATCAAGGCCCTATCTTATAAGGTTGTAACTGATTATGATACATTTTGATTGATATCAATCAACCGAAACTAATTATAAGTCTGGGTCCTTAACTTAAGAACTCTTATACCAACTGTCACTTCCATTGGGTTACAAAAATAATCACAATTAAAATAGTGAAGTGAACATGAACAACGTTTCTTACCAACACATCTCCTGTCTGGCCTGAGCCGATAACCAGGAGCACAAGAACAGTAGAAACTTCCTATGGTGTTGAAGCACTCATGTTTGCAGATAGTAGGGTTGATTTCACACTCGTTGATATCTTCAAAATCAAATCAGTTGTAAAAGAGTCAGTTCGAATCTTTGATGGTACTGAATATTGCTAAAGGAAGAAATTCAATTATTTTGTTAGACCAACACCTAATTGTACAATTAAGAAGGCCTACAGTTTCAGGGAAATAAATACCAGTTTTTAAGAAACCTGAAAGTTCCTAGATTTTGTATTCAAATGGGTTCTTAAAACATCTTATATTTGGACTGGGCTGTTCTATTGAATAGTTTGGAAGCATAGATACAAATCTATACTACAAACAATAAATTGCATGATCGGTTCTCTTTCAATAAATTTTTAGTATCTATCAACAGATATCATGTCAAGATTATCAGTTAAATCTGCATTGTGAAAGATAATTGAAATTGCTTAAACCTGAACCATTTTACTGGTATACAAATCTTTGCAATCATGCTTTCCAATGAAAACGTGATGCATAAAGCATTCAGAAACCCAAGTCATTACACCAGTCTCTTGTACTACATGTTTCTTGCAATCAATTGAAGGAAATCATATTTAGATGAATTTCCTTCTATTTCTGGGGATCAAAAACGTAATCTAAGATTAGTGTATCATACCTTCATTGCAGGTATTACCAGTGAAGCCAACTGGACAGCGGCAATACCCAAGTACACAGACAGCGTTGTTCTCACACATGGGGTCACAGGTCATCTCTGTGAAATGAAAGGTATAGAACACAAAATTAAAAAGATTAAAAGAGCATCTGACATTTACTATAGAGGAAATAATATCCTTCTTAATAACCGATTGGCAATATTTTGATTAAAATTATTTGAAGAACGGTATACCGGTACTCTTTTAAAGGGAGGGTATTCTTCTGACAGTCCTTTAGATTTACATGTACTGCCATCTGCTGCTATAAATGTCCCGCTGTGCCCATCACCCATCATCTCTATTCCCATAACCTTCACCCGTCATCAACACCATCACTACTATCATCACCATTATCACAACTACCAATACATGTACCATCATTACACTCACCACAACATGCATCATTCCCTACCGTCATCATACAGAGGACACAGACACAGTCCTTGGAAACAAGTAGTTCACAAGGTTTGTAGGGATCAGTGAAATAATCATAATCAATACTTCAATCATCATCATCACCACAATCACCATCATCATGACCTTCACAATCACCACCACCACAAACAGCATTCCCTACCGTCATCACACAGGGGACACAGACATAGTCATTGGATACAAGTAGTTCACAAGGTTTGTAGGGATCAGTGAAATAATCATAATCAATACTTCAATCATCATCATCACCACAATCACCATGACCTTCACAATCACCACCACCACAAGCATCATTCCCTACCGTCATCATACAGAGGACACAGACACAGTCCTTGGAAACAAGTAGTTCACAAGGTTTGTAGGGATCAGTGAAATAATCATAATCAATACTTCAATCATCATCACCACAATCACCATCATCATCAAAATCACCACTACCACAAACAGCATTCCCTACCATCATCATACAGAGGACACAGACACAGTCATTGGATACATGTGGTTCAAAAGGTTTGTAGGGATCAGTGAAATAATCATGATCAATACTTTCAATCACCATCATCACCCTCACAAACATTCCCTACCATCATCATACCAATAGTGTACAGAAGTTGCGGCGTCATAAAAAATCAACAAAAAAATTTCCAATTGTTGAAAACCAATTGACTGAGATATGACTATCCAAATGAATTCATTTCAATAGGAAATCACTGCTCTGCTCTGGTTCATAACAATACGAACCAGAGCAAAATAGCAGTGTTTTTATAATGAAATATAACATTATTTTGTATTCTCTTACGGAAGATGAAGTTCAAATCTGGAAACTCTAAAAATATTTGTTAAATGACGTCACACTTGACCACTCTTGAGTCCCATTCTCTCTTTAATACATTACCTTCTGAACACGTATCTCCTCTGTATCCCAGAGGACAGAGACACAGTCCTTGGACACACGTGGCTCCATTCTCACATGCAGGTTCACAAGGTATGTATGTATCAGTGAAATCTATCACAGAAAAAATACATCATCATAACAAAACTCAAGGAAAAATATAATATTTACATGGTTTTCTATTATCCTACACATTTGTTTTCATTTTTAAAATACTTATTGTTATGTTGAATATCCCCCAATGTTTCATGCAAAGATTTTTACTGATGTCATGAGGTACAGAAAATCATGTAATATCCAAGACATCTAATGCTTGCCTGAGTGGCAGCAAATCGACCACAAGGCCATCACTGGTCCCTGGCATATTAACTATGAACTGGAAAGAAATACCTGAGCTCTAATATAATAATAATAATGATATTATGTTTTTTACATAGCACTCAAAAGATCGATCCAACAATGTGCCTAAGCGCTTTACAGATATATTATTGACTCGTACATGGATATTATTATATGATGAAAAGACCAAAACTTAGATTCATCAATCATTTATTGATTATCAATATGTCTACACAAAGTTTAAATATAATGCTCACAAACTAAAAATATTACTCATTAACAATGACTGATTCGCTATACTAAAAAATTTAACTTTGTATCGTAATACTGATCCCAACACACAACAATATATCCATGTGTAATGTATCCTGATTATTGTGCATGCATGTATTACATTATCCATTCACTTACTTGATAGTTCACAGAATTCGCCATAGAAATCTTCAGCACACACGCACACTCCATTCTGGCAGTGCCCACCATTGAGGCAGGGGAAGTTACACAATATAGCTGCAGAGGGACAAAAGAATGAACAAAATTTAAAAACTAGACAATGATACATTATAATGCTTATGCAGAAAGACAGCGATAAATATTGGAAAAGGTTAAAGCTGATGTGCAGTTTTAGTATTAAGCACTTAAACAATTTTTGGTCAGATTTCTTTAATTTTAGATTATAGATAGAAAGATAATGATGTAATTCAACTCTGCTGTGGGCTTTAATCCTCCTTCAGTGATATATTAAGAAGAGGTAGAAACAAAATCAAATTGCCTCCTTGAAGGGAAATTATAACTACAGCAACCTGCACTACGACACCTATAAGCACTTTGTGTATACACTACAGTCTACACACATGCTGTTGTACATCTGTGGCAGTTCAGCCAGTGGCTGCAACAAAATGACATATGACACCATATGAATGAGAAATATATTAATTTTTTCAAATATCTTACGGAGTATCATCAAGGCAATGGTTCTGGACAGCGGCCCGGCTGTACAAGAATAATTTCCAACGTCCTGTACTTGGAAGTCGTTGATCACCAGCTCGATGTTCTGATCGTCAATCACCCTGACATGCTTGTGAGCAGTACCCCCTACAGGAAAGATAAGTAGGGATTAGGGTTTACATTGGCATGCAATTAGGAGATTTAAATGAAATATGTTATCTTACTCTGGAATGTATTGTTGTTTAACTCTTGCTGGACAATGCTTTCCTTTCAAATTCATACATATTGTTGCAGGTTGATGAAAAAATGGTGTAATTTTTGTATGAAATGTTACTTGTTATATTCCTTCTAATGGACTTACTCTCTAACATTCTCAAACCACAAAGATATCTATGGTTTTTTGTGCAGGTGTCACTGTGCAACATCCTCTAACAGTGATTAACAGTAAATTCTCCCAACCATTTTTCCATGAAAAAAAGACATAAAACAGGCTATAAAAAACCTTTCAACACCAAAATGTCTGGAATGCTATATAGAGCCTATGCATTGCCTTGCGACGATTTACATTCACCTAAAATGTAATTAAATTGTAATAATATCGTTGGGGGAATTAAGGAATCAATCAGATCAGTTTTTCCCAATTTGTATCATTAATATTGGTCCGTTTTTACTAAAATTTCCAGATTATCTTTAATTGTACATCGAGCAATGAAGTCACTACCTTAGCACCACTTTCTCTCATCTTAACAATGTTAACAAGTCCCTTTAACCATGGTAAACAAATGTTTGTATTATGGACAAAACACTTGAATATTGAATCATGTGTTAATGCCCTTCTGTCGCCAAACAGACAAACTGTACTTACCATGTACAAGGGTAATGAGAGTGCGATTGGGGTGTCTATGTTTATATTCCATTTAATCTAACTTACAATGGAAAACAATTTTTATAATTAAATGGACAAAACACTTGAACATTGAGTCTTGAGTTAACGCCCTTCTGTCCCAAAACAAACCGCAAACTGTACTTACCATTTTCAAGAGTATTAATGAGAGTGCCGTTGGGGGTGAACCACCGAGGTGATTCATCCACATCCCTGCTTCTCACGTTACATGATATGGTTGTGTCCTCTCCTAAGGCTAGGACCTGGGCTTGGAACGGGGTGACCACGATCTGGGGCTGGGATCCAACTGGGTTAGGACCAAAGATAAATAATGATAATAATAATAATAATATACAGTAGGCTTGCGGGTGCACCATGAGAGAGGGAGGATTGAGGAGTCCTGAAAAGGACTCTCGGAAATCTTTCTTGAGGGTTTGTAGTCCTAAAAAGGAATGTTGGTATAGTAATAATGATAATGGTAATTATTTAGCGATCATATCCACCCTGCAAGGTGCTCAAGGTGCTCCAATATTACCCCGGCTACGCTAGGCTATTGATTTCGCTGCTCACAGCATTCAAGGAATTATTTCCTTCCGGTACCCATTTAACACCTGGGTGGAGAGTGGCAAATGTAGATTAAAGTCTTGCCAAAGGACATAAAGACAATGTATCCTATTACTAAAGGCTGGTTCATATATTAGACAGTATGCCCTAAAGTTTTTATTTTTTAACATCTAGAAGAATGGCAGGTGAAGCAGTTAATTGGGCACAACAATGATTATACGCATATTCACATATCGGTGTGTGATATGACCCAGAAATGGAAAACATGTTTTGATCGTCTCATTTCATTATGACTTGGTGAAAAAGCATGATGGTTGACTGCAACTTACGTGAATGGGGATTGAAGGCCCATTAAACATGAGGCACAAAATCACTAACCGTTTTCAACATTTGCCAGGAAACAATATATCAATTCTATTGTGCCATCCCTATTTCTTTACATGTTTTCAAAAAGACAAGCATAGAGTGTATTTATGGGCATCTACAGGGGCAATTCTTTTGCTCAGTTATGTTTAGTATAACCTAAATATTTTCTCTTGCCATTCGATACAGACTTTAAAAATGTGAAAAACTGCTTGTATTTCAAATATAAATTGATTATGAAATTAATATCCACAAACTGCATACCCTTAAAACAAAACATACAACTCTTCAAATCTTACTTTTTTGTGCATTTCTTTGCCCATTTTTGTTTCTATTGGTCATGGCAACTTGGCATGTAAGACAATTTCGTTCTTTTCTTTAAATTACTGACATAATTTTTAAAAACTGGGCATACATTTGGAGCAGCCTCTGGAAGTAAATGGGTATTTCACCAAGAAGAAGTAAAGCATGCTTTCATTGAGCAATCATCTTTTGAGTTTGAACCAGCCAAGATTCAACTCTGCTCACTACATGAAGCTCAGAAGCCAAGCATGTCATATCATACCTGCCAACCTTCCACATCAAAAATTGATAATTTTAAGGAATACAGTTAAATTCACAAACTGTTATACAGGGACCCTTTTCACAAAGCCCTTTTCCAATGACAAATGACAAAGACCAGTGACAAATCTGCTGACAACCAACAAAGCAAGGATTTTCACTAGCTTACAACAAAAACTGTCATTTGTCACTGGTGACAAGTTTTGTGAAATGGGGCCCTGATGTTTTCAGAACACATGAGGAATAATTGGTTCATAAAACCAGTTCCAAAGTTTTAAAAAGGTACAGTTCCTAGAAAAAAGGAATGGTTGGCAGCTATGTTACATGCTAAGCATGCATATTTATACTACTACGCTGGATTCCAAAGAAGGTATAAATAGCAATGAATTGATATTGAAGAAGAATGGAAGCTCTGATCTACACATACATGTAATCCCATCTAATCTGATGCTATTCAAAGCCAGCCTAATGGAGTGTGCTATTTTCTGCATATGCTGGCTTTATGGATTTTTATTCATTTTCCTTTGCAACAAAAAATGCACAAATTGTTCATGATGATCCACTAGAACCATTCCATTCTACATCATTATTAATGAAAGAAGAATGATGCACTAAAAGTAGTTAATTTAGTGACTTTTTTTTAAATATTTGAACACATTTCTGTTGAAGTGCATTGTGCCGTTCATGAATGAGAGTGTTTTTATAGAGAATGATCATTGAAGTCTCTACATTGGCAATGCAGAACATTTTTAATCTCTATTTTTAGTGTACAAATTGGCAATGTCTTGTTTAACTTTAAGAAAATATTAAGCTATGAGTAGAAAATACAAATAAATGCTGCCAATTTGAGGAGAAAAAGATGATTTATTTTGACCTGTAGAAAACTCTGAACTGCTATAGGTTATTAGCATTCATCTACATGTAGTGTATCCATGTTCATACATGTACATGCATGTAATTAATGTAGATGCATGGTAGATGCATATATCTATGAAGATTCCACTTCATTCTTAGATCTTACTGAACAATGTCAGGTTCAATCCAGGTTCAAGAGCACCAACTGGATATGATTTAAAGATGGAACAAAAAAAAACCACTGTGACATGCACTCCACTTTTTTTCGCCCGTCTTATGAAGAGTTGATATTAAAGGTAAAGACCAGTTTTGGAAATGCCCCCCTCTCAGAAAATGAAATGGTAGCTCTTATTACCAATCATGTGAAAGAATATGTTTTGATTAATACGTGATGATACAAATTTTTGACGAGAAGCCGTCTACTTATTGATATATTTGGTAAATTAGTTTATCTATTTGGACGTGATAGATATTACAAACGTGTCGCGCACATGTGCGTAGTCACATATACATCTTTCTGTGTACAGTGCTTGTAACTTTACCAAGACTGGGTCAAATTTCTTATCATTTTGATGATTCCAGTACCTTGCAGTACACACCAATATTTATATGCTAGATGATCAACCCTTTCTGATCGATTCCACAACGTTTCTTTCACAATGCAATTGCATGACCAGAACTGATCTTTATCTTCAATCACAACTATGAACATAAGGCATAGGAGACTGCAAACTGGGTGAGTTGATAGGGGAAGTAGGGGTCTGGAAGAATATCCACGAAGAGGTCTGAGTAAAATGACACTGTACATATCCTGACAAAGTTTGCCAAGAACAGTACCCCTCTTCAGCCTCTTGAATTGATACAGTATGACAAAACAATTTCCACTTTTTGCCAAACACTTGATTCAATATGATCCAGCCCACACACAGTTTAGAGAATGTTGTCAACAAAGTTGAACAGTAAAGCATTGCATTACTTAAAGTCATGTCATGTCAGAATAAGAAAAACAAAATTCATCATAATAACTTTCTTATTATTCATTAAAAAAATAATCAAAATTTCACTGACCCATTTATCTAATTTATCACTTAATATCAGAGTGGACTTCCCCTCAAAGATAATATAAGGCCTATTTGTTGAAAAATTTGTTGAAGGACAATTTATAGCCACCGACATCTTCTATTAAAGATCATGGTTATGGAATAGAAAGGCACTAAGACAGACGAAATGTAAGGATACCATACCTGCTACTTCGCAAGACGGCCCTGTGTAGCCATCTGGGCAGATACACACTCCACTGTTACAGAACCCTCCATTGATACAGCTAGGGATGCATTCAACAGCTATATGGAGGGACACAATACAGATACAAATTTATCACATTCAATGTCATCTACATAGTGTAATGGAGATCGTGTTAATAGTTTTTGCCTGCATATTGAAGAAAACAACTTTACCTATGGCTTACATTTCTTGGTTTAGACATCACATAATCAATATTAATTTAGTTTCACTATAAATGTTATTTCTCATCAATTTCCCCTGATAATAAAATCATATGATCATATATTCCTTTTGCGATACATTGATTCTGTATATGACGTTTTTAGTTTGAACAGGCTACTAGACTCATAAAATCATTAGTGTCAAAATTATTGGACTAACACTTACGTCTAATCTCACAGAATTCTCCCAGGTATCCAGCCAAACAGTAGCATGTTCCATTGATACAGGTCCCTCCATGCTGGCACAGCTCTGGACAATCACGCTCTGAAAGAATATCATTCAAAGATCAAATTAATCATGTATTCTGTCATTTCATTTATTTTATAATCCCACATTTCCGTTTTAAATCCCATCTGTACTAGTTTGGCCAGGAGGTATTAGACCTCCCTGCCTGGTCACTGGCAGGAAGGTATCTCATCAAATCACCTCTCAATTAACATAAGCAAAAGGGGACAATGGGGACCAATGGGTACCGCATAGGCATTGTTGGCTATATAGAGGGCGCAAGTAGCTACAAGACGTGCAGTACTGCTTTAAAACACATGCAAATAAAAAACAATGTATATTAAAAAATACAAAGGAATACATACAAATAAAAACAAGTAATCAACAAAGGGGGAAATAAGATGATAACCTGTTTGAAGAGTAGGGAAAACAAAAGCAAAGTTGCTTGACAGGATTTATCCTGAAAACAATAATATTCTGTCATTCATTCATTCATGCCATCCTTTTAACTGACCAACCAGAGAATCAAATAATTGTTCAATCCTAGTTATTCTTGTGCATATCTTTAAAAGAGTTTACCGGTAGGTTGATTGCAACTTCATATTTTTGTAGGTTTTTGACTGAATGGAGGTGTTGCGTTCAATCGGGATTAATAACAACTCATTTTTAGACAGAGCCTTGGTCTATTTAAATTAAAAAGTTTATCTACAACTGAATTTCTCATCCACTCTGTCAGGGCTACCAACAGATACATCTATTGTTATGTGATATTAATACTAAAGTCCTTTATATTTGACTTGCACCCAAGAAAATGCATAAAGCATTAAAGGGGGGAATAAGAATATTTGATTTCATCTCCGATAACAATATGATACAATTCATCAAGAGAGAAATAAGATGATACAAATAAAAGTAAGGATGAAATGAACTTACTTCTGAACTGACAGGCAAGCCCATCAAACCCTGGCTGACATAAACAAATTCCATTCATACAACGAGCATTGTTCTGACAGGGAACACGACATTGACGTTCTGAAGAAGAAAAAAAAACAGTATGAAGAAGGAAATCAATGGACTACTTTCAAAAATACAAAAAGCAAATGATTATAAATTCTGTTCAAATTACTAGCCGTTTGGTATTTGAGCTACTGATGTGTTCAGGTTATTTTACGGCATTGGCACATACAAGACGCAAAAACATCATTTTTTTGAAAATAATCTATGTTCCTAACATGTTCAGTAATAAACATTGGCTTTTTACATGTACTCAGGTTATTTACATACTGTGTATATTTTCTGATAAGGAAAAACATGTAAGAGCATAATAATAATAAATGTTTCTTATTAGGCGCTTTTACATAATACTGATAAACAACAAATTATATTTGGAACAATAACATAGTAATTTATCAGTTACAAAGAATTATAAAGATAAGGATATGGTAATAGCAATGGCATCAGACATGTTTGTCACCTGCCAAAAAGGTGTTAATTAAATGTAACACAGAGTTAACACCTCTTTGACTCACAGCAGCAACATGAACATGACTTATTAGAATGGGAAGAGTTGGGCTTATAGTTTCTTTTTTCAACAACTTCTTGTCTCTATACTAGCCTACTAGGTATTATATTGTGCTTTATCTTACCATTATTGAACGATATGAAGTGCATTTCAACTCTTGTAAGCACTACCATGTGTACTGACCATATTAGCTTTGAATCACTCCTGTATCAAAATCACAACTACCAATCAGACTCAGTACTCAAATTGAGTTTGATGGACACCTCTCACTGAAGCTCATCAATGAATCAGCACACTTTGTTTCAGTTCTTGTCTGGAAGAAGTCTCTCACAGGACCCTCTTAACATCATCACACATGCACACAAACAACTTAAAGGTAATCTCATTTTTCAGTAATGATGCTGCATTTTAATAATATAATAATAATGTCAGGCTTATATAGCATATAATATTTTGCTTTACAAATATCAAAAGAACTAACTTTATCTTAAGAGATTGAATCCCTTTTTTAAAGCCCCACTGCACTACTTTAAGCTACTTCCGCCCTCGATAAAGCAAATAATACTTAATCGGTGCACGTTGGTCCTCCATGATTCCCTTTTTCTTATGTTAATTGATAGCTGATTTGATTTGATAACCACCTGTCAGTGACCTTGCAGGGAGGTCTAATCCCCCTTGCCAAACTAGTGCAGAGAGGCTTTAAAGGTAATCTCATGTTCCAGTAATAATGCTGGATTTTAATAACAATAATAATAAAGTCAGGCTTATATAGGGCACAATATGTTGCTATCTATATGCACTTTATTCCAAATAGCAAAAGAACTAACTTATATCTTAAAAGATTGAATCCCTTTTTAAGAGATTCAGTCACTTGAAGGATTACAAGTTGTTGCAATATTGCTTTTTTGTGTGTGATACTAATTGTTTTCGTTCCAGAAATCAGAACAGCCTTTAACTGTATCTTTCAAGTACAAACAAATCTTATGGGAAAACTACACAGTCATCTGTTTATCCTGATGAGTTCAACTAATCTGATTTTTCGATGGCTAGGTTCACAAGACAGTCCAGTGACTTCAAGTTTAGTTAGTGGTGTAAAACTTCAAGATTATCTTATATTACATGTGGATCAGGATGCATTCATGGCTTTGGAAACTTGTATTCCACTCAAAGCTTTTACATCATGAGTGATTTTAGTTAATAAGAAAACTACAAGCAGGTCCTCAATCAAAGTTATGTTGCATGCAAACAAATTTAACTTCTGAGGTGTTTCCTACTGGTATTTACAATGACTACTTGCCCCCATGCAGTTTCAAACTCCAAGTAATCACCAGCTTGGCCTGGAGAACATGTGTCATTGCTTAAAGGCCGTCTGTACTTATTTGGCTAGGAATTAGACCACCAATGGTGGTCACTGACAGGTGGCTATCAACTCAGATCACAATTAACATAAGAAAAAGAGGATCATGGGGGACCAATGGTCACCGATTATGCATTGTTTTCTATATAGAAGGAGCAAGTAGCTACAAGTAGTACAGTAGGGCTTTAAAATGTTTAAAGTTTCACACACTTAAAGAGAAGGTTGAGTTCTGGGAAGAGGTGAAAATAATTTGTGAGCATTACTCATTCTTATTACGCAAGTGTGGAAGAACATCAGTTAAGACATGTTCCCTGAAAAGCATGGCTCTTCAAATGCCTTCATATTCTAAATATGCATGTAACATCATAAAAATCGGGGGGCCGGCTTTTTACGCCACGTGTTCGTGTAGTCCCATATACATCTGTCTGTGCAAGTGTTTGTATCTTTACCAAGACTTGGCCAAATTTCTTATCATTTTGATGATTCCAGAACCTTGCAATACACACAAATTCTTATATGCTAGATGATCAACCTTTTCTGGTCGGATCCACACTGTTTCTTTCACAATGCAATCGCATGACCAGAACTCAACTTCATTGTAAGTTCAAAACTTAAACCGTGCCATGTGAACACAGCTTATGAAACATTAAACTTTCGTTATAAGCTGATGCACGACATGAAGAAAGCTTAATTTGAAGTTGATAGATGCAATAACTATATTTCATGACTCATCTGCTCAAGTCTAAACTCTTTGCTATTTTGACATACCCTTGGATTACTCATGTCAAACAGGAATTTTACAAACATTTCCAAATCTTTTTCTTCAGTTTTGTGGTTAAAAGTTAATATGATTTGGAGAGAGTACAAACTGAAACACCTGCTAAAACGATGAATTCCATGATGCTTAGAATTTGAATTGAGTGAATCATCACCAAACAAAAAGGTAAGAACATTTTCAAATGGATTGTGTAAAACAGAGATTTCAACCCTCACAAACACTTCATTTCTTTCCTTCCATTTAATATAGAAACAAACACAAAACAATACCTACTTGCCAAAAATATCAATGTCAAGAATGTAAAAATCTCAAATCATGGTGGTGCTTAAAAAAGAAAACAAGACTGCAAAATAGGCTGAAAAAGACTGGTGCTCATTCGGTTAGATTGGCTATTCTGTTCCATGTTTTACAAAGAGAAAGCCTAGCTTTAACTTCAGTTTTTTGTGTAATCTTATCACCATATAAACTACCTAGGAAACACCGGAGTGTGAGACTAAGACCCCGTTCTCACTCACTTCGTTGGAGCGCTCTGGAGCGCTCTAAACTAAGACCCGCTCCTCAGGAGCGGTTCTTAGGTGAGTGAGAACGCTCAAAGTGGTCCAGGAAACGGACTTCTGGACCGCTCCAGAAGTCCACCTTCCGAGGTGGTCTTGAGGAGCGGGTCTTATTAAGAGCGCTCCAGAGCGCTCTAACGTGCAATGTGAACGGGAAGCGTACTTTGAACGGAAGTGACGTTCCGCGCGATGAGCGATCGGGCAGGCACTACACATATACATGTATACGGGACGCGTCGCGAACGGGACATCAGGTGACATAGGGTTTGGATTCCGCGCGCGAAAAAATTGACCCGCCTACCTGAGCTGCCATAGCAACAAGACCACTTTGACTCGTGGAGCGGTTTGAGCCATAAAAACTGCTCGGAGTGTGAACGCTCGCAAACCGTTCCTCAAGACCCGTTCCTCTGGAGCGGTCTGGAGCGGTCTAACTAAGACCACTTTCAAAGTGAGTGAGAACGGGGTCTTATTAAATTGATAATATTTGGTTACTGTAAAAATGCAGCTAATATCTATTATCATTACAGCTACAATCTTGAACAGCTGGTTTGAGGGACTGCACCATACATCATGATTGATAGCAGATAATCATAAAGATGGAGCATCATATCTGTAGTACAGCAGGGAGGGAGTTAGGGGGTGTTAGCCCTCCGTTCAGGATTCTTAGTGGAAGTGCTATGAAATGTAACACTAAATAAACCTGTCTCACTTCGATGTCTCTGTCTTTCAGAGGTGCAGAGATCCAGGATGAATTTCACTAGATTGCATGTCTCTTCCCATATTCAAGTATATCTCCCACTGTCAGTGTCACTCTCTTTTTCCCTCTCTCTCTCTCTCTCTCTCTATTTCGCTTCTCTCTATCTAAAAGTCTCAATTTTTTTTTATCTTACCCTCTTCTCTTTCTTTCTCTCTCTCTCCCCTCTATCTGATCTAGAAGTCTCTTTCCCAATTTTTTCTTCTCTCTCTCTTTTCCACGTTTCCCTTAGTTTCTCTCTCCACTTCTCTCTCTCTCTCTCTCTCTCTGTCCCTCCTCTCATCACCCTTCTGTCTCATCGTGTCTCTCCTCTCTGTTCTCCCCTCTCCCTCTCTCTTCTTTATGTATCTCCTCTCCTCTCCCCTGTTTCCTCTTGTTTCTCCTCTCATCCTCTGCCTCCCTCTCCCCCTACTCTCCCTCTTTCTCACTCTCTTTCCTATTTCCTCTCACTTGCATTTGACATCTCCCTCTCTTCTCCTTTTTAATACTCCTCCATCCCTCATCACGACTAGGACCTCTATATTGCTTGTGACACAGTCCACCCACACTGGCTCTACCTTGTCTAAAACAGAGGAAATTAATCTCTCTCTCTCTCTCCTCTCTCTCTGTATCTCCTCTCCTCTCCTCTCTCCTCCTTCATAATACTCCTCCATCCCTCACCACGACTAGGACCTCTATATTGATTGTGACACAGTCCACCCACACTGGCTCTATATTGTCTAAAACAGAGGAAATTAATCCTAACATCATGTCTGGTAAAGATCCAAAATAATTATATCTTCATTCCACATTTCATAGTAAGCTAGTTAGAGACGCTTTGTAAAAATAGAAAAAATAAAATAGGAAAGAGCATAACTTGCAATCTACATTGAAAATTGACAATGCAAGCCATTGACTACTGAATTATGATTTGCTATAGGCTTAATTCAGGGAAAACCCAGAACCCACAGGAAATGGGTTAATGTATCTTTGTATTTGTCCAATACAGGAGCCATCTAGTTCCAGTAAAACAAATAGGTTGTCTTTTTTCCTTCTTCTTTACTATTTTCTTCTTATATTTTCCAATTTTTCTTGTTGTTAATCTTCTCCATAATATTCTTGAATCTTGTCAAAACATTTCTGTCTTCCTTTTCTCATCCATTTAAACCTATTCTTCTCATTTCTCCTACTCCTTCTTTTCGCTTCCTTCCCCTAAATTTTCTTGGTAATTTCTCTTTCCACTATTCTCTTCTTCTTCTTGATGTTCATTCTACCATTTTTGTGTGTGCATGATTGAAAATAAATCATTTCATATTAGAGTTGACATAATCAACCTCCCACAGACTGAACTTCACATCCTGCAATAAAAACACACTTCAAACACTAGCGAGAATTAACAAAAACAATATTTAACTCTAAAAACTGTTGAAGCTAAGTTTAAAGTGGTATCTTAGCCACTCGGCCTCATTCACATTTACAGTTTGATGGTCAGACAAAAATCAATAACCCTACTAATACTAAATCAACATAGACCCTAGGCGTACACAGTTGATAGGATACACAAGCAAACACACACAACCAACATACACTGTACTATGCAGCAGAACTAACCAATCAGCATTCAGCAAGAGCAGATGTGTTCAGTAGCCAATCACTGTTGTGTGCAGGACAAAACTTTTTGGTCCTACAACCAATCAGAAAAGAATGTCTGTGTGCACATGCACACACAGCTATAAGATGGACCTTATACACGATAGAATCAATCACCTTCGCACAGAGAGATTTGTCATAGGTGTATGCTTGTAACCAGGATACACACGGAGAGTGTACTGAACAAAATATCCACTTTAGATATGTCTACTTTGAGGGTATATATATATATGTCTAAGTTTTCATTATTATTATTCTATAAACATGCCTCTCTTCAGTCTCTTCATCATCATAACATTTTATATATTTTTTATTAGAGATCAGTTACATTCATAACTATTTTGTTATATTCTCTTTATCTGTATGCTTTTAAATTCCATGTATCCAAGCCTCCAAACAGCCTCCTTCCTCTCTCTCTCTTTCTATCTCTTTTTGACTCTCTATTTCTCCATCTCCTCCCTTGACAAGTTGTTTTCATGTACCTATTCTTGTCATGTCAACTATATTTTTAGGAAGTTACATTTTTGTATGGTTTTCTACAAAAATGCATATTTGTTTCTTTATCTCTACAATCTAGTGTAATACAAATACATTCTCTCTATCACTCACACTATTTATTTATCTTGCCCTCTTCAATGCTTGATCTCTCTCTCTCCCTCTCTCTCACACTCTCGTTCTTTCTCTCTCTGTCTCTCTCACTCATTCAATTCAAATCTGTCTCCCTCCGTCCTCTCTCAATCCTTCCCTCTCTCTCTCTCGACCCTTCCCTCCTTTCTCAATCATTCCTTCCCTCTCCCTCCCCTTCTCTCGATTCTTCCCTCTTTCTCCATCACTCCTCTCTCAATCCTTTTCTCTCTCTCTTTCCTTTCCCCTCCCTCTCTCTCTCCTTCCCTCCTCTCTCAATCCTTCCCTCTTTCTCCATCCCTCCATTCTCTCTCAATCCTTCCCTCTTTCTCCATCCCTCCTTTCTAAATCCTTCCCTCTCTCTACATCTCTCCTTTCTTGATCCTTCGCTCTCTCTCTCTCTCTTGATCCTTCCCTCCTTTCTAAATCCTTCCGTCTCTCTCTCTCTCTCTCTCTCCCTCCCTCCTCCTCTCCCAAACCTTCCTTCTCTCCCCGCCCCTCCACTCTTGATCCTTCCCTACCTCTCACTCTTTCTTCCTTTATACACTCCAACCCCGACCCACTACCCACCCACTATCCCCCGAGACTCACCTAGTCTGAGCTGACAGAACACACCGCCGATTCCAGCAGGACATATACACAGTCCTCGGTCGCACGTCCCTCCGTTCAGGCAGCCTGGCTCGCACGTATCTATAGGGAGGAAAACAATTCATATCCTGTATTAGCAACGATATAAAGCGACTCTGTATGAACTCTTGTATCATCGGATCAACTCTACTCTATAGTGAAGAAAGAAAAGACTGGATTTAAAGGATTTTTTTTTTCGAGAAGCAATGATATATCTGTACTTCATTAGTATCTGAGAATGGAGGAATGTCTAGGTTAATTTCACACATATTCTTCTTCAGGTTTTTCAGTTTCACCTAAAAGAGGAAAGCAATACATATCCTGTATTAGCAACGATAGAAAGCCACTGCACATGAACTCTAGGATCAACTCTACTTTACAGTGTAGAAAGAAAAGAATGGATGTACAGCAACCCTTTTTTGAGAAGCAATGATATCTGTACTTCATTAGTATCTGGGAATGGACAAATGCCGAGGTTGATTTCACACTTATTATTCTTCAGGTTTTTTACAGGTTCACCTAAAAGAGGAAAGCATTTCATAGAAAGCGACTTCGTATGAACTCTTGTATCATTGGATCAACTCTACTCTACAGTGTAGAAAGAAAAGACTGGATTTACAGGAACTTTTTTTTTGAGAAGCAATGATATCTGTACTTCATTAGTATCTGGGAATGGAGGAATGCCGAGGTTAATTTCACACATATTCTTCTTCAGGTTTTTCACAGTTTCACCTAAAAGAGGAAAGCAATTCATATCCAGTATTAGCAATGATAGAAAGCCACTCCATATGAACTCTTGTATCGTGGGAACAACTCCACTCTACAGTGTACAAAGAAAAGGCTGGATGAGGAACTTTATTTGGAGAACCAATGATATCTACTTCATTAGTATCTAAGAATGAAGGAATGTTGAGGTCGATTTCACACATATTCTTCTTCAGGTTTTTAACAGCTTCACCTCAAAGAAGAAAGCAATACATATACTGTATTAGCAATGATAAAAAAGCAACTCCGCCTGAGCTCTTCTTACTCTTAATACTTTCCAAAAAGGAAAATTATGTACTCTTACAAGAAAGTACTGTAGGATATCATAATGTGTGTGTTTAATTAATATCTTGTAATGGCGGAGGAGGACCAAAGTTGATTTCATGCAAATTTGTCTTCAGCATTTTCGCAAATTGATCTAAAAGAGAAAAACCGTTCTTTTCCTGTATTAGCAACGATAAAAAGTGACTTCACTTGAACTTTTGTGTGGGCTTTCACAGATTATTATGGACTGAACTCTTCAATGTTTTACAACGGAGAGAGAGGATGTATAAGAAATCATTGTGAGACGCTGTCAAGTGTTATTGAACAATATCCTGAATGTATCACCGGGCTCATTTTTAAGATTTATATCTCAAAGTGGAGAACAACTAAATTTCATTTCATGCACATTTTCTTCAGGTTTGACACAGCCTGTTCTCAATGAAGCTCAGAGGAGGCAATCTAAACATTCAACAGAAATGCTTAGACTCTAATTAACACTACATTTTTGACTGACATTTGAACAAAGTTTCTGTGCTTGAAAAACATCTCTTATACCAGTTTTGAATACACTGATTTATCTGAAGTGGACAACCGGCTATATGTCTTTAACAAGAATAAAATGTGTGAAAAACTGTTTCCACCAGCATATCAATCCATCAGCTGAATGACTTCATCATAGAGGTGAGTAATGTTGCTTCCATGCATAATAAAATGTTAATAATAAACAAGTTCTGAGATTTTTTTTATGAAAAACATGTTTTAGTGGCACTATATTTCATTTTTTAAGGATCGCTTTGTTGGGAAGGAGTAATAGAAAGATAAAATGTTTCATAGAAATGACAGTTTATTATGAATATATTTTATCTACAAAAAATTAACATAACCCAAGTATGTTAACTGCCCCTCCAAGAATTATTATTATGAAAAATTGTTTTTCTTTGGTTTGAAAGTGAGATCAAAATTTTAAAAAGCAATAACAACAAAACTTCTGTCATTATTTTTATGTCAGCTTGAAAATACATCATAGTGCAAATGCCACCATAAAGAATTTCTCTACAAATACTCATCCCAAAACCTCATAAGTACACATCAAATTGATGGACTACATTAGCAAAGTGTTTACCTTGCTTCCAGATAGTTTCATTCTCAATGACCAGTACTTATTCTCCTTAAACGTCATATTATCCTTAAAAATGATGTTGTACTGTAAAGGGTAATTGTCTGAATATGGGGACATTTCCATCCAACTAGGTGACCGAAACCGATAAAATGCAAATAGTATATAAACCTGGGGAATGTTTCGCAAAGACTAAGATCGACTTCAAGTTGGACATAACTATGGCAGGCCATTCATGCCAGTGGTTGCTCTCACCATTATGATCTTTAAATAATACATTTTTCCTTCAATAATGAACTATCAACAAATGTAAATTCTATAGATTTGTGATCATGGTCCCTTGAGAGACCGAGGCCAGTACATGCTGAGAGAAAACAGTGGCATGAACAGCCTGCCATAGTTAAGTCCAACTTAAAGTTGATCTTAGTCTTTATGAAACACTCCCCATATCTCAAAACTAAGGTTCACCTGGCCAGTTCATGCTGAGGTTATATATTCCCCCGGCAGAGCAGACATCAACCGCAATCAATAAGATCAGGAATGAGCTAATTAACAAGTCAGGATTATGACTTTATCCTTGTCTGAACCTCAGGACATGACTACTCAAAATCATGTAAGCTCCTAATTACCAATAAAGGCTCACTCACATATGACAAAGTAGATTTCAGCAGTTTATTTTAACAAACACATGTTAAAGTGGAATGGGTTAAAGGTGCACCAATTACCAGTAACGTTTTGTATAGTATGTTAGTAGTTTCATGTCATTATACTATGTTCCAAATATGAGCTTGTTGTTGTTGTTGTTGTTTGGTATTATCAGCGTTTCATTCTTTTTTAGAATATTTACGCCTTTCACTTTATTTCTTTTTTTCTTCTATTTTTTTGGTACTATTTGTAAATTCATACTCTTCAAATATTACTTATTTTGCAAGATAAAATATACTCTCATCCCAATTGACCCGTCGACTACTCTCGAATTCTCATAGGCTTAATACAGAGAACATGTGGTTCCAGTAGGCAAAGGGTTAACACAAAAGCGACTTGTGAGCGGAGTACTTGATGCACCTTAAAGGTAAAGACCAGTTATGGTCATGCGATTGCATTGTGAAAGAAACGTTGTGGAATCGATCAGTAAAGGTTGATCATCTAGCATCTAGCATCTGCAAGGTTCTGGAATCATCAAAATGATAAGAAATTTGGCCCATTCTTCGTAAAGTTACAAGCACTATACACAGAAAGATGTATATGGGACTACCCTATATCTCTCACAGACCATGAGAGAAAAAAAATTACCAAATATATGAATTAGTAGACGGTTTCCCGGCAAATTTTTTATCATCATGTATTAGTCAAAACATATTCTTTCACATGATTGGTAATGAGAGCTTCCATTTCATTTTTTGAAATTGGGGCGTTTCCAATACTGGTCTTTACCTTTAACACCCTCGCATAAAATAGGGCTAGCAATTGGAACCCAAGTCCACTTATGTTCTTCATACTCCTTATCTTTTAGCCCATAAAAAGTTTGATTTTAAAAGAATATTGAGTTTGATTTTGTACATTCCACTGTACACAAATTATTTATATTGTTACACTTCTGTTTCTTTAAAAAAAACACTGCTTCATGATTGCTGCATGCAGCTTATTTGTTGTCATCCCCACATGCCATTAATTTACACGTCAAACAAATGCTGTGGAAAATTGCATCGTGTGTGGACAAACATGAGAAGTACCAGCCTGAGCCGCTAATCATTCACACACTCTCAGGTCTAGTGAAAGCACAATCATGTCATTATTAATCATGAGGGGTGCCGAATAGTAATTAACCCCATCAAGGCCATAATAGACTTTCAATATGTAACAATCTTGAGGATTTTAATTCTCAAAGCTGCATTTTACATGAAAATTATGAGAAAATACATGTAGAGTGTGTTTCTTGCTATAAAGAACATTGTATACTAAACCTAAGCCAACCTAGGCTGGGATCTATAAAAATACGACTAAAATATTCAAGTTGTGTAAGTTTTTTAAATTAGTGAAATTTTGATTTGTCCTGATTTATGTTTCTTGAGAATGTGTCATATTTAACCTCACATCTTTAACTATTTTTTATAACATTTCCCAATAAACTGTTTCAAGATGTTTCAATATTCATGAAAACATGTTAAATCAAGACAGCTTTATGCATTATTCTTGGAAAAATAAAAATGGATCTTTCAAACTATGCATGGCAGTGAAAGGTCAAATCATAATTTAGACCCCTAGCTGTGTAAATAGGGCACATCAACATAACTGTATTTGGGGTTACTAAAAGTTCACTACAAATAACTTTTTTAAAACCTGCAGGAATGTGGAAATCGATTTAGTCTCAAAGGCGAGTTAAAACATCTTAAGACAATCTTCTTCTCGGCTCATTTTTGTTCCCTCTTAAATCTTGTAGAGCAGTTTTGTCTTTGAAACAAGTATATATTTCACAGTGTCAGCACTTTTTTGTTTCAAACACATTCATATCATTGAGTTGTTATGGCACTTCTGGAGATAAATTGCACACACTAAGTGTAAGTCGAAAAACTTTTAAAAGTAATTGAAATTAGTTGAAGATTGAAGGAGACAGGCTTAATGTGATTATCCATTAGCTAGAGTCTCATGCTTGGAGAAATTCATACGTACTATTTTTTTCAAAAATGATTATCAACAGCACGTTTTCTGTGGTCAGACAGTCACATGGTCAGACCTTCCTAAATGAAGATGTCTGATGCCCTTCCCCTGCCCCCTCTCTGTTCTTCTTTGTGCTTCCTCTGAAAGTTGATGTGTAAGTCTCTCACTCACCCTCTCTCTCCTTGGGTTTTTTCTTCATTTTGACTTATCAATATTTGCTAAATCTCTCCCTCCCTGAACAGTCTGTATCAAATATAGACCTCTCTCTTTCTCCCCCCCCCCCCCCCCCCCCTCTCTCCCTCTCTTCTCTCCCCCCCCCCTCCCGACCCCTTGTCCTCTTTCAACTATCCCTTTAATCATATCAAACACAGTTTTTCTGATCATGTCATTCATTATGACTCAATTTCTGCCACAATAATAACTTTCTTTATCTTTTCCTTACTCTTCAGCAATCGTCAATCATTTCCCTTATCCCTTATTTGCCCCCCCCCCCCTTTATTAACTGCCCCTCTGTTTTTCTTTAATCTCCTTCTCTCTCTCTCTCTCTAACTACCCTCTCTCTCTCCCTCTCTTTCTAGAGTTGGTTGCTATGTCTAGGCCATCTCCTATTTGTAATGAATCACAAACCACACTCTTTGCATTGAAGCCCTACCCTTCTCCCACAATGGTTTACCACAAATATCAAATGATGAAGATTTTTTTTTTTATGCTGTTTTTTTTCTTTATCATGTAAACAAATCCCATAAGTTAAGTTAAATATTCAGAATAGGGAGTCTATTTCCTTTAAATAGAGGTTTGTGGTGTAAACTCCCTTGTGAGAAATTATGCATGAATACGAGACAGTCTATAATCTATTAAACTTTAAATAAGGCATCCTTATTGGTTCATAATAACAATATTTGATATACAGAACATGCAATATATGTATCAGTTTGTATGGAAGTGTGCATAAAATAAAGGAAAGCATGAACTATCTTAAAGAGGATCAATTTCAAATTTCCACATATTACATCCATACTCATGAACTAAATAATGTAATAACAATTTGAATTAAGTTACATGATGTAGAATGAAGGAGACCATTCAAATTTTATCACATCCAGTGTATGATTCTGGTTTACATTACAGAATTGTATCTGTTTACATGATTTAACAATAACTTAACACTCAGAACCCCTTTCATCATCATCATTGAGATATATTCCATTTGGCACCTTGCTCGCTTTAACTTTTAACTTTCTTAATACATTGGCTAAATATCTATTTCCACCAGCAGCGCTGCATAAAATACAGTAATAAAGGATTTCCAATGACAACCTACACCTTTCCAGATGAATTATAATATAAAGGTAAACATGTAGCATTGCAGTTGGAAAATTTGGACACATTTGACACTACAACATTTGCAGAAGTTGAGTTAATTTAAACAGGAAATTTGGCAATTTGCTGAGTTTTACTCTCAATTTCCTCTTTGAAAATTATAACCTTGGATTTTAAATGTACACATACTTGTAGGTCAATAGGTATATATGTTTCTGCAACAAAATTTGTCAATGCTCCAAGGAAATGTCCATAATGACCATGTCACATTATTTAATAAGTTCTTGTTGTTTTTACGGTATTTACTGTAAAAAAAAAGGATCTTTTTGTACTGCTACACTTCGCTAAGCTACTGCTTAACTTCCTCTAAATTATTTTTCAATCAAATTTTTCTTGATTGCTTTTTCTCTTCTCAATGTGTGACCTACAAACTTAAGTATGGTGTAATGTACAGAAAACAGTATACCATAACAATATTGTGACTGCAAGGGAATCTATACTTTACATGATTTAGCCTTTTACTAGATTCCCTCATATTTCGCTCCAAATATAGTTGTCTAATTACAGGTTCAATATAATCCAATTGTATTTATATCTTTGTATGTTATTTTGACTGCATTTTTACTTTCATGGCTTGATATTATTGTATGTATTTTTTACACTTGGAAACAATTATTTTTCAATCTTATTGTTTAGTGCTCATGATTTATGTAATCGATGTCAATGTGCAATATGAAATAAACTAAACTGAAACTGAATATAACTATTTCTCAGATATCGATGATTGATATGGTCTTCGATTACCTTCTATTTCACAGAATGCTCCCTGGTATCCTTGCTGACAGATGCAGTATCCTCCTGCGCACTGGCCTCCATTTATGCATTCCGGAAGACACTCTGATAAGGCTGTGGAAGATAAGAACGAGATGGATTAAATGCAATCGGTTGCAGATAGTCTTGCTTCTTAACAGATTTGAAAGTTTGGAAGCGCTTAGTGATTCTAATAAGCGCTATAAAAAAAACGAGTATTATTATTATTATACACAACTGAATAAATATACATTGATGAATTCTGGAAGACACTCTGATAGGGCTGTGGAAGATAAGAACGAGATGGATAGATAGACGCTGGCTGCAGATAATGTTTGCATCTAGTGAAGATGTGGAATAAAACAATTTACAATGCAGTCACCATCGATGTACTCCTGAAGACATACAGATACGGCTGTTGATGATAAGACCAAGATGGATAACCGCACTTGGTTAAATCTTGCTTCTAATTTCAAACATTTGGAACATTGCAATCTTCATTGATGGTTTCTGGGATGAACCGTTGATGAAGTCGATGGATACGAGGAGAAGGAGATGATTCAGTTTCAACAAATCCACTCAAGAGGACACTAACAATGCTGTGGAAGCTAGGAAGATGGACAAGACTAAACAGAGATAATGATAATAATAATAATCTGGATTAATAAAAGTAAAAGTATACATTGGTGTCTTGTAAATTATCCACATCATTGTAGTCTTCAATCGCTATTGCCATACTGTATGTTTCACGGTACAATTTGTTTTATGCCTTCATTATCATGTAATATGAAACCAAAAAGTACACATAATTTATGCATCGTAAAGCTGTATTGTAAATATCTGTGTATACTTATGACTCTATATATATTTAAGGACCTACTGCCTATGTCATATATGTACATTTATGTACGTACTACAAATATGTACTGTGTAATATCGTGAATGTTACCTGCAAGTTTATTGAATGGAATCATGTTCTGTATTTTGTAAATGTAATATGTAATAGGTACTGTGTAACTTGGAAAATGTACTATGTAATATGTACTACATAATATGTAGTTTTTATAGAGCATATTACCTCCAATTTCATTGAATATAACCATGTTCTGTATTTTGCAAAGTTTTTCCTCTTAATAGATGCAGAGTGAGGAACACAGCCGACAAAATTTGACAGAGAGAGGACAATGCGTACGGTAGGTATTGAGGTAAGCACTTTCACATCACCTTCTATCACTCAGAGTTAATTTCATAATCGTATAAATCACATTAACTTTCGATATGATAGAAATACTTTTTTCTTTATTGATAACTCAGGGACAACTCTTGAATTCAACGATGTCAGATTTTTGTCAAAGGTAATGCTCACTCAAGCATTATGGACTTTTTTGTTGCATGTACTTTGCTATCAATAACAAATAGGAAGCATCTACTCTGCTGACAATAACAAAACAAAGCTACTACCTTATGTACGTCCATGGGTTAGATGCATAGCTCCTAGACATAAGCAGTTAAAAAGTACAGCCTCAGTAATTTGTTTAATCAGAAAATTGTTAAAATTGATATGTCCATTAATTACAATGAAAGATACATTTGTAATAAGCTACACCAGTCTCATGTACTAATGCTTTTTATGATTTAAATCTAGGAGCTCATTTTGAATACCTGTACTGGTGTTTATGAAGAATACAAGCTTTCATCAGTCCAAAACTAATAGATAAAATAATAAAATTCTAGCTGTTTCAAACCACCTATACATCACCAAAAAGGGTCACTGATCTATGTGTTTACAAGGTAGCATAGGAATAATAATAATAATAATAGCCTAATAGTCCACTCCAAATTTTATTAAACCGAAATGGAAATTCTTTTTGCCCAATTGATCGTGAGCCCGGCAGCCACTGAGCAGCGCCAGATCGACGTTGCTCTATCCCTTTATTGTTGAACGCCAAACAAGGTAGCAACAACTCCCATCTTTTAACGTCTTTTGGTATGACGCGGCCGGGGTTCGAACCCACGACCTCCCGGTTGTGAGGCGGACGCTCTACTGACTGAGCCAACACTCCGGGTTAAGTAGCGAAGTCAAGGGCAGGGGGCGTCTTTGTTCATCGTACCACCACACCCTCTCCCCACGACTATTAGGTTTCATTGGATGATTTCCTCCACGTGGGAAGGATCAAGAGGAATAGATAGCATGATCCGTCATGAAGAGGCCCATTCACACATCCAAAACACCACTTTGGAAAATCATTGATTTTTAGGACTACCATTTTACATTACTGGAAAAAACCCATTCAAAATCACTTGCTAATACCTATTTTTGGTGAGTAGTGCGCATCTTGACTTGTCATTACTCTTTGTGCGATCGCAAAGATGAGATTTTTTATTTCACTGCCATTAACACGACTATCGTTTAAAAAATGACATTAAAAAATACCAACAAAACATTGGAATGTGAAAAAAATCGATGTTTTTGCTTGCAGTGTAAGTGCAGCTAAGGAAAACTTGGCTCTCTCTTTACAAGACAGTGACCATGAACAAACATCTTGATAAAAATCTGCAATTACTTAGCCATGTTCATACAAGAGCCACGTTTTAAAACATAAATTTCCAGAATTAGAAGTTCCTAGGATACAAAGTGCGAGCCTAAAAGTTTATGAATTAAGATTAAAAAAGTGAAAATTCCTGTGAATTTTCTTCTCATTCAGTACAACCTTGAAGTTTAATTTCTATATAGGATAACTGTGCCGACAAGCTGGGTGTAAAAATGTGCATACAAATAATTTTATCCTGTGATTTTCAACTTTAGCAACAAGGATAAAATTGTTGTCAGTGATTTAAATTCGCTCCCTGAAGTCCCCCCTCCCCTTCCCCAACTGCTCTAGGAACTTATTTGAATGCACCTAAGGATCAACTACAGCCGGCTCTCGAGACTACAGACTCTGACATAAAAGTCACAATGTGAACATTACTAGAGGCTTGAGAAGGGCTGAAAGTCAATGTCAATATCAAAGTCACCTTTTCCTTTTCATTTCCATTTTCACAATATAAAGAAGAAATGCAACTGGAAACACAGGGATCAGGGGAAGGAAACGATAAAATAGAGATGGCAGGGGGTGTAGGGGGATGAAGGGTATCTCATTTAAATGCTAGGATTGAGATAACTCAGGCTAGCGTCTATAGAAAATCAAGTCAAATCAAGGCAAAACCTTATTCAATACATTAAACATGAAAACGGTATATCATATTGAATGAGGCAAATAAAAAACAATTTTAAGAGAGGGCAGGATGGAAAATAAGCAAACAAAGACAGGGAGTTTGTCTATAACCTATGAAGGTAAATCATAGAAACGGAATAAACTTTATAAAGGAACTGATACAAAGCATACAAAAACAGAAAATTAGGGTACAGAGGAAAATGCTAAACAGAAGAATCAAACGCCAAAAGAATAGAAGACAAAAAAACCATGACCAAAACAAATAAGGGGGAAAATAGATCCTACACTTCCTTCAAAGCAGACTTAGTTCCCTTAATAAGTTAAGTTTCCACGACAGGAAATTTCCTCTATTGGTGGCATGCCAGACAAAATTTGTCATGGAATCTTTCAAATGAAATGCGCTGGGATTAAATCCTGAAATTAAATCCTCTTTTCCATTTCATCACTTGAACACTTTAGTTTTTGTGAAATATTCTGTACAAAATAATTCAATACTCTAACAATGCCACAGCACTTATGTCCTTTGGCAAGACATTCATCTACAGATGTAGGTGTAGTAAATGGGTACATGGTAGGAATATATTCCTTGAATTCTTTTAGCCTATTACATAGGGCAGGTAGGCTAAAGCCAGGTCAATAAAAGTACTTTGTAGGTGCATTGATCATCCCCTGGGATTTATACATGCGCAACATAAATTGCTGCTACATGAATTGCTGGTGATTCTAAATAAGCGCTATATAAAACCTGAGTATTATTATTATTATTTTTACATCAATTGCTGCTACCTAATTTTCACTCTAAGATACACATATTGGATTTTAAAACAAAAATTATGCTTTTGAAAAGGTACTTAATTAGTGTTGAGATATGAGCTCCAAAACGTCATTAGTCTAATTAGCCAAGCCCATCAGTGATGGTCTTTAATCCACATGGATTAGGTGGATTATAAATAATCATGAGCGAGCTTATCTCTTGTAGCACTCACTCAATTTGGTTGGTTGGTTGGTTTGTCTACTTGATCTGACAAATTATTCCTAGTGATTAACTCTTTAAATGCCACACAAATAATCTCCCTGTGCTGCACTGTACTTAACATGGGATAGATATACCAAAGGCTTCAAGATATTTAACTGTTGCCAGTGCAAATTAATGTATACCAGTGTAACAACAGTAGAGTTGAAACTAATTAAGACTGGAAATTAGTAATTTTCAACAGCAATTATGTTGCACGAAGCATCTCTCCATCAGCTGGTGGCTATTGTTTTGTGCAAAATTGTAAGTAAGGCAAACAAGCAGACGTGTAGAGAGGTGAAGAAAGCAAACAAAGAGTTAAAAGGGAAAATAAAAGTATAATCCTATATCAAGACAAGATAAGGAATGTAACTAGGCTACCAGTAGGATACCAGCAAAGAACTGTAATACCAAAGACAGGGAATCTTTGGTTATTGGCCATATTTGATACCGTCCATGTAAAACAGGCAATTTTACAGCCAATATTTGCTAGATGTCGCCTCCCTATCCCCATCTCTTTCACTTTAGCTAACCATAAAGATGTTTCAGTGTCAGTGCAAAATTCCAACCTAACCAATGTTGTTTTGTTTTTATTCAATTTCCTCCCTCTTCTTCGTGCGGGCCCAACTCTTGGCATTTATTCCTTCCTGAATAAATATAATGAACGATGCATTCGCTTATGAAATTAGTGGTGATTGCTGATGAATAACAGAAGGTGTGGGAGGATAATCTTCTTCCTATCTGTCACAGCATCTATGGTGGTTTTAGAATATATGATTGATTTCTTGGCACATGAAATATCCTGGAAGAATAGTATCTATCTGTTTCCCTCTACCCCTTTCTGTTTTTCTCTCTCCTCTCTGTCTGGC